ACAGTTTCTCTTGTGTTTTTCTGTAACAGTTGTCAGACCACTGACAAAAAAAAACAGTTTATAACTTTTTTGATACTCCCTAAATAGTATTTCCTGGTAATTAGATGCACATGGGTAACTTGAATATCTAAAACAATATCAAAAAGCAAAGAATTAGTGTTGAATAAAAAGACTACAAGAATTTCTTTTACTAAGTTAAAAAATTAAGTGACTTACAGTGCAATCATATTACTTGATGTAAGAATGCATTTAGAGGAGTATAACAGTGCTCAATACAAACAAGTAGGTTACTATGGCTTATTGTTTATGCTCAATCAAAGTGTATTAAACTGTTAAGTCCATGTTTGAAATTTGTATGATAATAAGTGACCTAGGATCATATAGGTTGGTCTAAGGTTGCGCCAAGGGGATTATTACAGCCTACCAAAAAGGTAGGAATTCTGACTTATATTTTAAGCTTCATTAACTTGAATTAGATTTTATGTCCAACTTCATTTTTGAGCATAGCAGCCTTCCCTAAAAAGTAGGTCACATTGATCTACATTTTACACCTAATTGACCTATATTAAATTTAAGTATGAAAAACAGATCTTAGATACTAGGTAACATATAACTTGGTGTACAGATGCATTTAGAAGTGTAGAAAGGTGTTAAAAAAAATATGGCACTCTGACCTACAATTTATGCTTCAATGATAGACGTTAACTTTTTCTTCCAAAATACTATGGTCTAATGATTCACCTAGGGAATTATAACAGCCTTTAAAAAATGTAGGCCACTCTGACCTAATATTAAGCTTCATTCACTAATATATTGTGTTCAAGTTCATTCCTAAGGTATACTTTGCAACCTACAATCATATAACTTCTAGCCAAGTATAACAATTTCATTTTAAAAGTAGGTCACTCTCACTCACTCACTGCATCATCATTTACCCCTCAGTTCCTAATTGATAGTAATTTTTATGTTTGAGCTTATTCTTGAAAACTAAAAAAACCTTCATTTCAGTCCTTTTTGATATTAAAGACAAATCTTATTTAGATATGAATAAAATTAAATATGAGATATAAATCAATGAGATGCAACTGCAAAAATGACTAAAAGACATCAGGAGGGCAACATACTGTCTTCAACAAGAGGTCAAGCTCTTAATAGTTCCATAGCTGGTGTGATAGAATTATTGAGCTAATCTGGAGAAGAATTTACCTTTGTATTGGAAGATTTCTTTATGTTCCAGATGTAGTCTTGTAGAAATGGGTATTGGTTTGCCATTTCTGGTCTTTTAGTTATTTGATAAAATGCTGATAAATGAAATAAACTTCCTTTGTAGTAATTAATTACACTTTGTTTGTGACAGACTGTTAAAAAATTACATGAAAGCTTAGGCTTTATTTGAAGCAGTGAAATGAAAAAAAAAATGTTAGAAAGTTATTTTAATAGTTGGTTGGTTAGATATGATTTTTTGTCTTGCCTTGACGGAGTCAAAAAGCGAGACATAGGTATGCTGTTTCCGGCGGAGGCGGCAGCGTCAACAATGTATTAGTTTGTGATTAGGTCTAGTTCATGGTGAACCACTAGTGGTAGGTCAATGATATTTGGTATGCAGTTGTATTAGCATTGGCACATCTCATTACCATGGAGATTATTTGGCCCCGCCCCCTCAGTCAAGGTCTATTGACTCTGAAACTTTGCTTAGTTTACATGTATTAGTTTGTGATTAGGTCAGTTTATGGGGAACCACTAGTGGTAGGTCAATGATATTGGGTATGCAGTTGTATAAGCATTGGCATATCTCATTTCCATGGAGATTATTTGGCCACGCCCCCTCATTCATGGTCTATTGACTTTGAAACTTTTGCTTAGTTTACATGTATAAGTTTGTGATTATGTCAGTTTAAGATGAACCACTAATGTTAAGTCAATGATATTCGGTATGCAAATGTATTGACATTTGCAAGTTTCATTTCCGTGGAGATTATATAACCCCACCCCCTAATTATGGTTCATTGACTTTGAAATTTTTACATGGTTTACAAGTTAATGTTTGTGTTTAGGTCTGTTTAAAGGGAACGACTTATGAAAAGTCATTGGTATTTGGTTTGCAGTTGTATTAGCATTGGCACATCTCATTTCCATGGAGATTGTTTAGCCCTGTACCTTCAGTCATGGTTCATTGACTTTGAATATTTGCATAACTTACATGTTAAAGTATTACTATTTTAATTTCAACATTTGCATTATCAAAATAACAAATAGGCGAGACATATCTCTGTGTTAACAGTTTATTATAATTAACAAACATATCTTGTAATTCTTCTTGTTACATACATGAACTAAAATATTTTTAATAAAACAAAAAAACCCATTCATTCAAAAGCTGGGTATCAGAAAAAACTAATGAAATACTGCTTCATTGTGATTTTGTTTTTTATGAAAGTATGTTTCTTTTCTGTTTTGATGACACATGAAATATATAAAACTCTGGATTATGGATTTTTTTCTTCATGTTTTATGAGGCATACAAAATATAACTGACACTGGCTTATGGAGTTTCTTATATGTTTTATGACACATATAATATATATCTTGCTTATGAAGGGAAATGAAAAGTAAATATGAATAAATATTTTGCCCAAATATAACAGTGTATGAAAAATGAATATTTTTGTCAAAGAAAGTCTAAAGGATTGGTCAGATCTCACTTAAAACATGAAAATTGTAAAAATGTATGTAAATCATCTGTCAGACAAACCGTCTGACTTTACATCAGTAGACTATACAAAACAGTACCTAATATAGGTTTTTAGTATATTGGTATTTTAGAGATAAGACATTTCTAAATTATTAGGTCTCAGTTCTACTGTGATAAGTGGTTTATAACACAAATAATTGTGGTCAAAATGTCATTGTTTCTATTTGAATTGTGAGTTGGGTGATTATTAAGTTACATTATTCATTCTTGGTAATTTAGTGGTATTTTGGATCAAATTGTCTGGTTTGTTATTCAGTTCTGATGGTCAAGGCTGCATTTGCTTCTTTCAGACAGAAAATTTAAACTCATAACTAATCATTGTCCCCCGCGTAACACGTTGGAAACATGGAAAATTGGTTTGTTAGCGCTCTCATTTGTACAGTTCTTGCCAGATTTTTATGAAACTTATATCATAGGTTTATACTAGAATTGTCTTGGACGAGTTCGAAATCATTGCTGATCAAATATTTTTAAAAGAGTTTTGCCCCTTTGAAACATTAATTTTATGGAAAATTGCATTGTTAGCACTTTCATGTGTTCAATTCTTGCCAGATTTTTATGAAACTTATATCATAGGTTTATATCAGCAATGTTTTGGATGAGTTTGAAAATCAGTGCCGATCAATTATTATAAAAGAGTTATGCCCCTTGGAAATATAAATTATATGGAGAATTGCATTGTTAGTGCTCTCATATGTACAATTCTTGCCAGAATTTTATGAAACTTAAATCATAGGTGTATATTAGTAATGTCTTGGACAAAAATCAGTGCCGATCAATAATTTTTAAAAGAGTTATGCCCCTTCGAAATATTAATTATATGGAAAATTGCCTTATGAGCGCTGTAATGTGTACAATTCTTGCCAGATTTTTATGAAACTTATATTATATGTTTATATCATCCATGTTCTTGAATGGAGAGTTCACAAATCAGTGCCGATCAATTGTTTTTAAAAAAGTTATGCCCCTTGAAATTATTGATTCATATGGAAAATTGCAATGTTATTGTTCTCATGTGTTTAATTCTTGCCAGAATTTTATGAAACTTATATCATAGGTTTATATCAGAAATGTCTTTGACACTTTTGAAAATTAGTTGGAGGAATAAGAAATATTTTTTCATTTGTTCATAGATGATATAGATAACTTAAGCTTAAAACCAGCAATGAAAGAGATAAGGTTTAAATGCAGTGAATGGGTACCTTTCTGTGAACCTCTAAAGTTGAGTCCATTGAAATTTTCAAATTGCAATACAAATAAAAGTGAATTGCAAACATTTGAATGAGACAGCAATCCAAAAGCACAAGTTTTGTATAGGAAAGTTGATTATGGAACTACTTACAATAGAAAACAATATTTCTATAAAGTTACAGTACTGTCTGTACATCTCAGTTTGTGGACTATTTTGAAGCCCTGTCCCCTAGGTCATGGTCCAGTGACTTTGAATTAATTAGCAATGTTGCTGTCCATCAGATTGTTTTTTTTCTGAATTTTATGCCATAGGGAGAGACATATCTCTGTGTCAACAATTAATTCATCCATAATGTTACATATGGGGATTAGCAATAGAATTTAAGAGCAAGTACCATGAATATTTTTATGCTTTCTTATAGCTTAGAAACATGACCATAATAAAGTAGTTTTTCAGAAAGCTATAGGACAAATATAAATGCTTTTTTAAGCATTTATTGCAATCCATATACCTTTGAATAATGCGTAACATAGTGAAAAGGGACATTTGCAGTTCTTCTTGATTCAAACGGAGCACAGGTTACAGTATTATTACAACATGTTTGAATGCATTGTCATTAAATTGATATCTATCAGCAAGCCAATAAATAATCCAACTTGTGTAGAAAGCTGAAACTTGGATATTGAGTAACAAGTTTATCAATAATCATCTAAAAAAAAAAAACAATTGCAACAAGGAAACATTAGAAATTAACTTGATATGGATTGAAATTTGTTCAGCAAATGCTTCTGTTATGTTTTTCTATCACTAGGGGATTACCATATCTCATTGTCTATATGGTTTTCATTTCAAGGAAGTAAGGTACACTCACACATTAGATTTAAAAGTAGGCTATCACAGAAACCATGTACTACTGCATTCACTAGAATCTCAAAGTTTGTGATTACTCAAAGGGAGCTGTATTTGAGTAAAGCAAAAGAGCAGTTCCTGGTAAATGATATCTATATTATATATTGTAATAATAATTAAATGAGTCTTAAACCTTTCTATTTTCAGGGCCAGAAATCATGGGTTGAAAGAACTTTTTTAAAGCGTGACTGCATCAAGTTTATACCTAGTCCCAAAGATTCTGCAAAGTAAGTTTTGAGATATGGTTTTCACACTGTTTGCCTTATGGGCATGTATGAATGAGTAAAACTTTTAATTTTGATTTGTTCTGCAGTGACAAATGTGAGCCATTCGCTGTGTTTGATCTGTATCCAGGACTCAATCAGCAACGTAAATACATTCTATTATTAGTTCAGACCTATTCTGATCAGTGATGGTATAATTTTTGACTGATATTAAAGCTGCCAAGGTACAGATTGCCACTATGACACCACAAAGGGTTCTGTTAATGTCACGATGTCTGACTTGTTTTACCCTACTGTTAACGTTGAAATTTTCACCCTGGGGTTATTTTTGTTTTATTTGGCAATCTCATATATAATGCCATCATTATACTTTGTGCAATATTGGTGTCATGTTGCATAAGGTTTCATTTCACCAATTTAACTCTCACAAGAAAAGATTATAATAAATGTATTGAAATTGCGAAAAATAACAACCCGCGGAAAATATGTTTATTGTGAAAGAATGTTTTACCAATGAAAATGACATTGTTATAAAGCTATGAATCAGCTCATCCAAATAATGATACTCATTAAATGGTTAAAACAAGTCTTGATTTAAAAATAGACAAAGAAAATTCATCTAAAGGAAAATTTGCATTGATAAAGTGAGAAAATTTTAGGTAAACTAACACTGTAGATCATAAGACGTTTTCTTACAACACTCTTGGGATCATTTCTATTGATAAGATATTTCTCAATGATGAACTTGGTAAGTACCATATGATTAATGAGCTGTTCAAAAACTTTAGGAGAAAAATGGTCATACGGGAATATAAGAACTATTTGTATTAAACCAGTTTGTTAAGAAGACAAGTAGGAAATTGTTTTCATTGTAGATTTCAGGTTTAGCTTATGGTCATTTTTTGTATTTTAGTATTTTGTATGAATCTACTCTCTGGTAGGATTAAAGATACCAATGTGGTCAATGACAATAAAAAAGCAACCCAACAAAAAAAAAGAAAAAAAAAGACACTATAAAGATTTACAGTAAAAAAACTCACAGTATGAGATTCACAGATGTGGATACTAAAAAATTCCAAATAACTTTTAGAGTAAATACAATCTAAGACTCTTTCATCTTGCAATAGTATTAAAACATTTGACTTTTCTATACTTTAAACAAGTATTCCCCATTCCAAACTAAAAGACAAATTGAAAGAGTTGGTCCTGCTTTGTTTCATAAAAAAGAATGGCCAACATAGATACAAGTATCTTGTCTTAGGGAGGGATAAATCGTACTTTGTAAAAAATCACTCTAATTCAAACAAAACATTCACTGAAACTGACATTATCAAGATGCTTGGTTTCTTGATTGACAACATATTTTTTACTTTTGGAGGACATGTTTTTTTAAACAAACAATCGGTATTCCCATGGGAACAAACTGTGCTCCTCTTCTTGCCGACTTGTTCCTTTATTCATATGAGGCTGACTTCATACAGGAAGAAAGAAAAGAAGTTAGCAGTATCCTTTAACTTTACTTTCTGCTATATATGATGTTCTCTCACTAAATAATTTAAAATTTGATGACTATGTTGAATGCATCTATCCCATAGAACTTGAATTTAGGATACAACAGATACAGTTAAGTCTGCCTCATATCTTGACTTACATCTAGAAATTGACAATGAGGGTCAGTTGAAAACAAAACGTTACGACAAAAGAGATGATGTCAGCTTCCCATTTGTGAACTTTCCTTTTCTATGTAGCAACATTCCAGCACCTGCATACAGAGTATATATCTCCCAGTTGATACGATATTCCAGGGCTTGTATTTCCTATCTTGATTTCCTTGATAAAAGGGTTGCTGCTCACAAGGCAGTTATTAAACCAAGAGTTCCAAGTGGTGAAGTTGAAATCATCCCTTCGTAAATTTTACGGACGCCATCACGAGTTGGTTGACCATTATGGAATATCCGTTTCACAGATGACAGCAGATATGTTCCAATTGTCGTAACTACAATCTGGTCCCCTTTTCCCTGAGTGTGACCTACCGAATTAGACTTATTACTGGGCTTGTACTAACATGAGCAACACAATGGGTGCAACATGTGGAGCAGGATCTGCTTACCCTTCCAGAGCACCTGAGATCACCCCATTTTTTGGTGGGGTTCGTGTTGCTCAGTCTTTAGTTTCCTATGTTGTGTTTGTGTACTGTTGTTTGTCTGTTGGTCTTTTTTTTTTTTAAGCCATGGCTTTGTCAGTTTGTTTTCGATTTATGAGTTTGAATGTCCCTTTGGTATCTTTCGCCTCTCTTTCACACCATGTAGTAATTCCTAATTTACAATTAAAATAATAAGCCACGAAACAGATTTCAAAGTTCTAAATACATATATTAACATTGAGAAACAAAAGTGAAATAGACACACACAACACAGGTGGCAGTGCCAGATAAGATAAATTAATAACACTTGAGGGTATATTTCCATGAACACAATGAGACCAGTCCAAATAAGTGATATTTGTGTGAATCAGCAAGTTATCTCCCTTTTTAGCTCACCGGGGCTTCTGGCCCCATGTGAGCTTATGCCATCACTTGGCGTCCGTCGTCTTCTCCTCTGAAACTACTGGGCCAAATACCTTCAAACTTTAATTAAATGTTCCTTAGGGTATCTAGTTTATAAATTGTATCCGAAGTTTTGATCCATCGACAAACATGGCGGCCATGGCTAAAAATAGAACATAGGGGTCAAATGCAGTTTTTGGCTTATATCTCAAAAACTAAAGCTTTTAGAGCAAATCTGACATGGGGTAAAATTGTTCAATTGGTCATAATCTATCGGCCCTGAAATTATCAGATGAATCGAACAACCCATTGTTGGGTTGCTGCCACCCAATTGGTAGTTTTAACAAAATTTTGCAGTTTTTTGTTATTATTTTGAATATTATTATAGATATATATAAACTGAAAGCAGAAATAATGTTCAGCAAAGTAAGATCTACAAAAAAGTTAATATGACCAAAATTGTCAATTGACCCCTTAAGGAGTTATTGCCCTTTAAAGACAGTTTTACACAATTTGTTCATCAAGTTTGCTAACATTTTAAAATCTTCTCTGAAATAAAGGTGAACGATTTAGGCTCTTGAGAGCCTCTTGTTTGTGAGGTCATAATGAAAAAACTACATCCTGGCAATGTTTTCGAAAAATTACCACTTTGTTCAAAGCAGCATTGTGAAAAGATGAAGTAAAACTAGTTTTATTTTTAAGACTTGAAAAAGGGCTTTTGCAATTCATTTATTTATATTTATACTTATAAAAAAAAATTGATTAAGTAAATGATTTGTAATAAGCTATAAACAAGCAGAGAAATATTGTTAATTAAAAAAGAAAACGGACAGAAATCAATTGTCTTAAGAAAGGCTATTTGTAAATAAGCTGTTAGTCAGAGTGATATTTACTCTTTAAAATATTATTCACAATAAATTTCCTGTATGACACTTACAAATATGGGAAGAAATTTGCTAATTACTGAAAAACTAGGTAAAACAGAGGATTTTTACTGGTTCTGGTGGGAAGAAAATCCTGTGTTAGGCCAAATCATTTCAGAAATTGATTTAGATTTATAGGTCACATAAAAGGTTAATGGGACCATATTTTTTTTCTGTATTTATATTGTTTGACATTATTGATTACAAATATTTACCTGTGTTTCATTATATAATCCTTTTCTTTAGATACCATTTGTTGTTCTTGCAGTAAATACCCGATATTAGAAGCAGATATGATTAAAATATTTGTGGTGAAAGGACAGATACAAAAAAATATTAAACAATCCTTATTTTTGTGCCTGCTCCATGTTTGAGTTGAAAACAAAACTAATATTTTCAGATGTTCGGTTACTTTATCTTCTAATCTGTTCAATCTCATTCTTCACTCTGAACACAAAACACAAAATGTCTTTTCTCTTTTAGAGTAAATTTCAATTTCTTTAAATTCTGCTTTAAAAAAAAATCCCTTCATTTAATTTTGATTTATAGAATTTAAATATAATTTCATAGAAAATAAACCATGACTCGTGTGACGTGTGTATATAATCATAGAAAATAAACCATGACTCATGTGACGCGTGTATATAATCATAGAAATTAAACCATGACTCGTGTGACGCGTGTATATAATAAACCATGACTCGTGTGACATGTGTTTATAATAAACCATGACTTGTGTGACGTGTGTTTATAATAAACAATGACTTGTGTGACGTGTGTTAATAATGATCTAGAAGCAGCATAAATTTCTTATAACTGTTGTTTTATTAGCTTTATGATTTTTCAATTAAAAGGTTTTTATAAAATCAAGAATGTTTTTTAGACTTTGATCTCAGACTTTTATTGTTTCTTGTTTCCTTTCATCTCTGAATTCAATGCTATTGATGGTTGTTAATTTCAAATTGGTAATGTATCTATTTTCTTCACTATGGTTTTATACATCATTTGTACACATTTTCATCATGCCTGCAGTTAATTAAAATATTTTATAAATTAATTTCATCTGATGGAGATTACATAAATAGCTGAAAAAAAGCATGTTTTGTTTGAGAATGGAAATCTGTGGAACAGTAATCATAACTTTCATTATCCCCTCCTCTTTTGTCCATTCATAGGTTTATTCCTTCTATTTTTATACGACCGCAATTTGCGTTCGTATAATGCTATCATGTCGTCCTCCGAAGACCCATTTGGTTTCCGAACAATAACTTTAGTTTAAGTGAATGGATCTCTATGAAATTATACCAGAAGGTTCAATACCACAAAAGGAAGATTGGGATTGATTTTGGGGGTTATGGTACCAACAGTTTAGGAATTAGGGCCCAAAAACAAGCATTTTTGTAGTTTCCGGACAATAACTTGTGTGTTAGTGTATGGATCTCTCTGAAATTGTACCACAAGGTTCCATATCACAAAGGGAAGGCTGGGATTGAGTTTGGGGGTAATTTCCCTAAACGTTCAGGAATAAGGGACAAAAAAGGGACCAAAAACTAGCATTTTTCTAGCTTCCAAACAATAACTTGTGTTTAAGTGTATGGATCTCTTTAAAATTGTACTACAAGGTTCCATATCACAAAGGGAAGGCTGGGATTGAGTTTGGGGGTAATTTCCCCAAACGTTCAGGAATTGGGGCCAAAAAAGGGGCCAAAAACTAGCATTTTTCTAGTTTCCAAACAATAACTTGTGTTTAAGTGTATGGATCTCTCTAAAATTGTACTACAAGGTTCTATACCACAAAGGGAAGGATGGGTTTGAGTTTGGGGGTAATTACTCCAAGTGGGGGGGGGGGTTCAAAAAGTTTTTTTCATTCTAGGTAAATTAAATGTCCCATTTCAAATTTTTGATATCTTTGACCACATTTATTTTGTGTAAGAAACCTATATTATGTCAAAAACTTGATCACAATCCAAATTCAGACAGTATCAAGCTTGAATATTGTGTCCAAACTTGCCCAAACTGTTCAGGGTTTGACCTCTGCGGTCGTATCAGGCTGCCCTCAGCGAGGCATTTTATTTTATCTTATTTAGGTTTGTGTTAAAAGTCAGGAACTAAGCAACAACATTTCATACAAGAATTATGTGTTATCAGTTGATACATCATGTTCATTAATAAAGGTCAACATTACGAATAGGTGACATTTACCTTTATTTTACGCTTGCCTAGTTTTGTTTATATTTGCATTGAGGTCCAGATCTAAGCAACTACATATCATAGTGGGAATGATATGTGTGTCTGTTAATGCATCATGTTTAGTGATGAAGGTGAACACTGGAATAAGGTCACCTTGACCTTCATTTTACTCATGAATGGCACTAGATATGTTTTTGAGTAAAGGTCCAGATCTATTAGCTACTATACACCAAAGAGAAATCATTTTTTTCTCAGTCAATTCAACATGATTAATAAAAACGGACCCCCACTAAATTTAAGTGACCTTGACCTCTATAAACAATTTGAATAATGTAAAAGAAAAAAAAAATATTTACCACCAATTTTATCACAAAGTATCTTTAAAATCTGTCAAAATTTGAATAAGATAAGATTGGTTTAATTTGTTATAATTAAGACAAAATGAGATTTTTGTACATTGCAAAAAGACCACAATGGTCTGATGCTAATGGCAGGGTTCAATACTTGCATTAAGTTGTTGTAGTAGATTTCTAAGCTTGGTACAATCAGCTAGCCATTTTTAACTAAGTAACTTAATCTGACACACTGTGATGATTATACTGCTTAGTAAAAGGCTTAACAGAGTTCCTGTAATTATTTTCACTGTTGCAGGAAAAATATTAATTTCTTTGTTGAAATAATTAATGGATTTCTTTGATGTTACTTGCATTTTAAATGTGAATTCATGTGCTAATCCATTCTTTTCAATTTTGAAAAAAAAAACCATTGTTGTATGTTGAATATTGGGAAGCATAAATAGCAATCAATAAAACTTCATATGGTAATATTTTGAAACTAACAGAAAATAGACATTATCTTGAATGGTGTTGGTGCATTAAGTCTTGTTGGCTTCCGGCAGATACTTGATACCTTATAAAATGATTTTTTTACAAATGCACATGTTCAGCTAAGCTGGAAGTGTGAAGAATTAAGATTTATTAGATATTCTGTCTCAAGCTATAATATAGCTAAGTGTTAAGAATACACTTTTGAAAACCACACTGCCAACTTTAAATTCCCATAGACTTTAGTTTATTCATAATTCTGACATTTTATAGCTATTCATCTTGTTCAAAGTTAAAAGCAGTATTTAACAACACTTTTTTTAAATAATTCGAATAAAACTCTACAATTTTAATCTGAAATGGTGCTATGTTTTACTTTGTTTTACTTAGTTAATAATCCATAATGATTGAATATTTTATTCTCCAGGTAAAACATACTAAATATTTGCAATAAATTTACATTCAATGAATGATTCAATTCCCTGTATGTACCTAATACAAGCTTACATTTACAAATAACCAAACATAACATGATATACAGAACAATAACTTAGTATAACTTGTTATCCTAGTTTATTGATTATGCCTACATACAATTTTGGAGTTCATTTCTAGAAATCAAAAGTTGATTTACAAATTATATTGTATAATGATTCATTTACAATACAATACAAGTATAACATGTGTTTGGTAAGGAATTTGAAAAGACAAGAATATTGTGTCAATTGCATATAAATTAAATTTTATCATAGTTATTGGAACTAAATAATGCTTGGTTTCTAAGAAATAAAAATCTATTCTATTTATATAGTTTATATGAAAAATCTGTTTCCGTTTTAATTTTGCTCTGACATAAAACTCCAACGCTACTACACTCCTTTGGAATTAAATCTGGAGGCATAAATGGTGTATTTGGAACAGGAAGCAAAAAATTTAACTTGATGCATCTGTCTTCATACATTCAGTGTATTGCTTCAATAGCATTTATGCAAATAAAGTTGATATCGTCCAGCTCATGAAAGACCATTGCAGTGTTGACTATTGCTGAGGTCTGTAATTTTTTAGTGAGATGTCTGATAACAGCTAGTTAACCGCTAATGGAAGGTTCTTATTCAAGTTTTACCCATTCTGATAAGTACTCATTATCAGGTTGTCTGCATATTGATATTGTAAAATACCAGCTGCTAGTCACAATATGGAGCTTTTTGTCTAGTGAGTGCAAAGAATGACTTCAAAAAATCTCCATATTATGTCGAGCAGCTGATATTTTACAATATGAATACCGGTATGATGAAAACCAGATAATCGATTTATCAGATTGATTATGTATAGTTTGCATGATAGAAGCAAGCTTTTTCCTTTGTTTCACCAGCAAACTGGAAGATGACTTGAAATCGGTTCATTCAATATGACTTAGGTGATATTTCTGGGTCAAAGTTATCTAGGCCGGGTTAAGGTATTGACGTCATATAGCCCTGATATGCAATTTTATGAAGAGCTGAGCAGAGTGATACATACAGTGTGAACACAGATAACAGCTGATTACTAAGCTACAGGAATATATAATGGAAGGTTCTTGTTCCAGTTTTACCCATCCTGATAACAGCTGATTACTATGCTACAGGAATATATAATGGGAGGTTCTTGTTCCAGTTTTACCCATCCTGATAACAGCTGATTACTAAGCTACAGGACTATATAATGGAAGGTTCTTGTTCCAGTATTACCCATCCTGATAACAGCTGATTACTAAGCTACAGGACTATATAATGGAAGGTTCTTGTTCCAGTATTACCCATCCTGATAACAGCTGATTACTAAGCTACAGGAATATATAATGGAAGGTTCTTGTTCCAGTATTACCCATCCTGATAACAGCTGATTACTAAGCTACAGGAATATATAATGGAAGGTTCTTGTTCCAGTATTACCCATCCTGATAACAGCTGATTACTAAGCTACAGGAATATGTAATGGAAGGTTCTTGTTCCAGTTTTACCCATCCTGATAACAGCTAATTACTAAGCTACAGGAATATATAATGGAAGGTTCTTGTTCCAGTTTTACCCATCCTGATAACAGCTGATCACTAAGCTACAGGAATATATAATTGAAGGTTCTTTTTCAAGTTTTACCCATCCTGATTACAGCTAAATACTAAGCTACAGGACTATATAAAATGGAAGGTTTTTGTTCCAGTTTTACTCATTATATATTGATGACACACACCCCTAGAAGTGGCCAATACTTGTTTTTTCACTGACTGAACTATTGAATATGCTGAAAATGATGAACAAGATACATGTTAAACTTTTTGGCAGTACACTGTGTCCTATGAGATAGAATAATGGCCTCACTGATATTTTGTAAGTTAACTTACAGACATGAAAAGGGGAAATAAAAAGAATTAAAATCTCAACATATATGTTTCTGAAGACATTTATCTATAAATGGTTCACTTAATTTTATGACTGTCTGAAATTCTTTTTCTCTCTGTTACTTAGAATCTCTCAGACAAATTGAAATAAAGAATATCCAGATGCTCTGGCAATGCAGTTTGCAGCTTGACAAATTAAATTATGCAAAATCAATCAATGTTGACTTGTTTTAACTTTTATGCAAATGTGCTTCTTCATATAATGATAAGAAAAAAAGGAATATGCTTTCATAAGATTTATAAAATGGAATCTGTTCTTTTTTTTTTTTATTGAATTTTCTTGAGGAAAAATAAACCCATAAAGAATAGAACCAAGTTTGTGGTATGTAGATGTGCCTTGTTATTAACTTGCTTGATTGAGGAAATAACAATCTGAGATTGCTGCTGTAAAAATGTTACTTTCATTGATTAGTTCGTAGGTTTTTTTGATAGAAAATTAATTATATAAGGAACTGAGATCAACAGAAAAACAAAAGTTTATGATACAATAAACATAAACTTGGTATCACAAATCCAAATGAATTTACAATAACTTGAGAGAGTTTGGTTCTGTCAAGTTATGAATCTGTTATGTCTTCTCAATACATGTATGAAATAGGTCTTTTGACAGTTTCATTGGTATTGAAAAATGTTGATCGAAACAATTATTGTATGCAGCTTCAATAACTAAATAGTTGATAAAATATCTTAGAACAGTAGCTTAGCTGCTTTGATTGAAAACTCCTCATCGTCCAAGGTATAGCAGTAGTATTCAAAAAATTTACTTCAGAAATGAAATCGGAAAAATGATTTAAGCAAACAACCATATAGGAATACAATCATTCATTTAGTTACTGCAGATTGTCAAAACTGTGAACCATATAAATATATCTCTGGTACAAACTGTTATACCTTAACGACATCGAGCTGTGTGTAAACCACAGGGGTGTTGTGATGTGTGTACTTTGCATGTAGAAAAAATGTTATAATACTATGAAATAAAAAGATGAAATAGAACTTGTTCTAAAATAAAAATATTTTTATTTGGTAGGTGTTGTTGTGGAAGACTAGAAAATTGGCATGACACAGTCCCTAAACAGCTAGAAGTACCCCAGGGTCCAGAGAGATGGCATCCATATGCACATACTGAATCCAAACCAACAGATGCCTATGGTACAATAGAATTTCAGGGAGCACCTCATCCGAGCAAGGCACAGGTAAGTTAAAATAAGAGAATAAAAAGTGGCAAACTGGTAATATATGTGCAGTAAATCTTATCTTTTCAGTATGTTAGATTGAGTAGCTTCGACATTAATATATTTGTTTATCTTTTCAGTATGTTAGATTGAGTAGCTTCGACAGTAATATATTTATTTATCTTTTCAGTATGTTAGATTGAGTAGCTTCGACAGTAATATATTCGTTTATCTTTTCAGTATGTTAGATTGAGTAACTTCGACAGTAGTATATTCGTTTATCTTTTCAGTATGTTAGATTGAGTAGCTTCGACAGTAATATATATTCGTTTATCTTTTCAGTATGTTAGATTGAGTAGCTTCGACAGTAATATATATTCGTTTATCTTTTCAGTATGTTAGATTGAGTAGCTTCGACAGTAATATATTTGTTTATCTTTTCAGTATGTTAGATTGAGTAGCTTCGACAGTAATATATTTATTTATCTTTTCAGTATGTTAGATTGAGTAGCTTCGACAGTAAACCAGATCAAGTTTTACAGTTGCTACAGAAACACTGGGGACTAGCATTACCAAAGTTACTTATAACAGTTCATGGAGGAATATTGAACTTTGACCTTCAACCTAAGTTAAAGCGAGTATTCCGTAAAGGGTTGTTGAAAGCTGCCAGAACAACAGGTGCTTGGATCATTACTGGAGGCACAAATACAGGTAGGGAATCTGTCTGTGATGCATCAACTTCTCTGAGAAGTTCATATGTGACTTGAATTATCTGAAATTTTTTGCCACTATTGTAATTTTTAATTACAACTGCATGTTAAGCAAGCAACAATCAATCATATTTTTAGGCCCCCGTCATCAGCAGCAGGGGCATTAAGTGTTATCCTTGGCCGTCCGTACATCCCAAAATTAGTTTCCATTCTCTTACTTTAGTTTGCCTCAACCAAATGTTATGCAACTTATCCACAATGATTATAACCACAAAACTCAGATCAAGTTCGAATTTGGGTGTAGTCACTTTTACCGTTCTTGAGTTATGTCCCTTTATAACTTTATATGCAAGTGGGGGCATCATCTGTGTCCCATGGACACATTCTCAATTTATTTATTATTGCATCCAAGAAATAATTTGTTTTAATGGAGAAAAAAACCCATTTAGAACAAACAATTAAGACAAAATATATTTCTGTAATTATACAAATAAAGACATACTGAAAAAATATTGTGTATGAAAAAATAAACTCATCATAAATATCAGTATTTTTTTCAGTAAAGTGAAATTAGGTTCATATGGAGCATTTTTTAAAGTGCAAAGAGTCATATTTAGACAGATAATTGAATAGCATAGTAACACAGATGTTAATCAATTATATAAGGAAAACTAATCTCTCTGATTAGATCACTTCTGAGTCTAATTATAGCCAAGATAAATGTCTTTTAAATATATTTCAGAGTAATTTATTGTCAGTTATACAAATATCTGTCTGGTCATTGCATCATCCCCATCAATAAAATTTATCATTATATTTAAGTTTCTTGAAATTAAAATTTTTTTGGATAAAAGGATTTCTTCTTTAGAAGAATGTGATTGATGTGCATGGCTATCAGAAATAATTAATTTGTATGTGAAGATATTAAAAGTTATGGAATAGTGATTTTTCCTCCTCAGATGTGAAAGTGTCATGGTAATAATTCCGATTTAATATATATCATAGTATGACAAGGTTTATCTCTGAGTTCTTCAAAAGAATTTTTGTGTTTATGGACATTTGGACTGACAATGTTTGGAAATTTGTCTGTCCAAAATACATTTTGTTGCATCAAGCATGTGAATTTGGAACTAAAAGCTCTGGAAACTATGATTTTTAATCTTGGATAACAAAAATATTTTCCCAGTAAATTACTTAGCATTACCTTAAAGTACACAGATTTAATATCATTTGAAAGTTCTATATTAGATGCTGATCATATTTATATTATTTTTGAAATAAATGTTTATGCATTAAATACTGAGAATTGTTGATTTGATTTCAGGTGTTACCAGACATGTAGGAGAAGCTATTAGTGATAGAACAACGAAAACCAAGAACAAAGTTGTAGCTATAGGACTGGCACCGTGGGGGATTGTGGAGAATAAAGAGGATTTAGTCGGCAAAGATGTACGTTTTATTGTCAGTTATCCTATGTGTAGACAAACGGATGCAGTTTTATATACTGAAGACATGCAAACAGAATATCATATTTAAACAAATCGTGTGTCAGATAGTTTTTAGCACTATTTTTTTTAGAGAACAGACATTCTCTGCTTTATTTATAGAGTATTTAATCATTCTGTTTTGACAGTAAAGTATAAATAACACAAAAAATATGTAAAATCATTATGCATGGTTAGTATAAACAGCTATGAATCATTTAAATCTTAAGTAACCATTATGAGAGGAGAGAAAGTAGACCTATTTACTGTCTGTTAAAAATTATCTCAAAATTAAAATCAGTCAAAATATGGTATTTACATAGAACTATGAGAAAAAGAGGCCTACATGATGGAATTGGAAATTGATTATTGAGTTTGAATCACGTTGTAACTGTATCATACCACTGCAATACCGATTATCTACAACAGATCGTCTACTGGCTAATGACATTAAATGGTTCCTTTTATGATTATAAATGGTATTCGTCTAGTCTTCTTGATTAAGACATGCTCTGAGAAATTATATTTGTTGTGATTTAAGTTTTACCTTTCATATTGATTTCAACATTGTAAATTTAATTTAGGCCACACCGAATTTCTATTTTGTTATCACGATTTTCCTGCATTTATTTTGGATAAAAAGTATTTCCTACTTCTTGTTGGAAGATTACTAATATTTCACACCATTTTCAAATTAGAATAAAAAAGAAACAACTGCTGTCACTTTGTCATGTTATGAAAGTATGAATCTAACATCATTTGTAAGCCCCTGTCCCAGCCCTATGTATATTATATCATTAAAAGATAACTACCCCAGTTATGGGTTAATAGCCAGCAGAATGAAGGTTGTCAGCCTTTGGAGGTAATTCAATTAGGAGATATGAAATCTAGGTAGATTTGACTAGCCAGCCTTGGTCTGCAAATGATCTAAAGTAAAGAAACCTTGAGTAAAAATACACTGGCTCTTTAGGGTGGGGATTGAGCAACCTTTCCTTGTGATTTTTTTAACTTCATGTCCTATCCGAGGCATGGCACTAACAGAAGTTGTAAAAGGAAACCATGGTTTTACTACCACCTATTTATATCTTCAAAAAAACCCAATGAAGGATAATTGATACAGTTTGATTGTCAGATTCAGATATATACAGATTAATATCATCATTTATATTTTCAATTCTACTTGCAGCTGACTGTTCCTTACCATTGTGTTTCTGCTAATAAGTCCAATTATGCAGTTCTTAACAGATCTCATTCTTACTTCCTGTTAGTGGACAATGGAACTGTGGGAAAATATGGTGGAGAAGTCATCTTTAGAAAGAGGCTGGAGAAATATATTGCACAACAAAAAATTTCAATTGGTAAATGAAATGATTGACTCCCAATATGAATCAATGGAAATGATTTTTTTTTAAAGTGATGTTTCTTACGGGTCTTTTGATTAAATTTCATCTAAAATTCAGATCTTTTATTCCATAATATTTTGATAAACACATATAAGGGCTATGACATAGTAAAACCCAGTTAATGATAGTAAAACTAAATTAAAGTGCATTGCCCTATTCCAATAAATTGAGGCTAAAGCAATGATATAAGGAATTATTATTTTGAATTGAGTCATTGGTACTTAAATTAGAAAAAATAAAAACTCCTTGAAAATTTCTTTTACCATGTAAAATTTGATTATAACAGGATATACAATCAAACCCATTTGATCAGACATTATGACACAATTAATATATACTATACATGTTTAATGGGAGTTAGATGGTGTCAATTTGATTTAACAAACTTACTATGTGAAACAAGTATAAAAGTTTCATGTAAACACTGTCATACTTTGTTTGATCTTATATCCTGACTAGCAGTATTTAATATTGGAAATAATTATACACAAAGGTCAAATTGTTATTAACAGTGACATAACCAATACTGGAAATTAACATCAAATGAAAAGGACATGTATACTCAGAAGATACAAAGATTTAGGTCAATACTCATTGGCAATCATACCACATCTTCTTTGCATATAAACCTGTCCGTTTTACCATGTTTATCAAGTGTTTCAAATTGGGGCATCAAGAAATTTTCCTAAAGGTATATTATCCTGTCTAATAATATCAGACCTGCCAACTTACACTATTTAAGGGGGATTTCCCCATAAGAGGTGTTGACTTGAAATTTGAAATTCTTTATTATATAACCTGAACATCTCAAAACCGGCACTTTAATGAGTTATTTAAATAAAAGGGTATTTAAGCACATACATACTCATTCAAACAATGTAGTAGTTAATTAAAAATGCTAATGACAATTTGGCCCGAGAACACAGTTATTTCGTAGTGCATTTCTTTTAGACATAAAACGCAAATTAAAAAAATCGCACCTGCTCTTTCCAAAAGAGATTTTTACAATGTAGTGTTCTACTTTTGGGACAAATTATATCAAAATTATAGAAAAGTCTATCGGCTCTAACTCAAAGTATGGACAATTTTATGTTAAGGAGGTCTGTAATTCTGTTTGACAGCTTCAGACATACTAATTTTTGACCTTTTTAAACTGGACCAAATCACTACTTTACCTAAAAATTCATGCCCCATATTTTTTTAAATGTAATTTCATCCCCCTACTTACTATTTTTTGCATAAAATATAAAGAAATAAATTTGGAAGGTATATGAAAAAAATGTGCAAGTAGTACACTGTCCACACAAGGGACTCTATTTGTAGACAACGAAAATCAAAGGACCACAACTGTGTCCCCGGACCAATATAAGAGGACCATTATGTCCTCTTGCACTATCCCCTATGGAGATTTTGAAAAGTTGGGAGGTATTTATTATAGAACTGATAATGGAGATTTCCAAAATTCCTTTTTATTTTACTCTTGAAACATGTGGAACAGGATATGCCTACCCTTCTGGAGCACCTGATATCCCCCAGTTTTTGGTGGGGTTCAAGTTACTCAGTCTTTAGTTTTCTAAATTGTGTTTTATATACTGTTGTAATCGTTTTTAATTTTTTTGCCATGGCGTTGTCAGTTTGTTTTTGACTTGTGAGTTTGAATATCACTTTGGTAACTGTTGCCTCTCTTTGACTTTACATCCAGCATCATACCCAGTGGAAAACATGATTGTATATGAGAATAAGAAGAGGTCCTAAGGAAATTTATTGTAGTATATAGTGTGATAAAAACTTCTGTAAATTTGTAAAACGCTGGTATTCAGATTACAGGAGTAGTTAAGGCTATTCAATCAAAAAGTATGCTGGAGGGTACGAAGGAACCTACAAAATCTTCCCACAACCAACTTAATTTCTTTTGAGTATTTTTGCATTTATCAAATAGATATACCGCCATAATTGACCCCAGATCCATGTCCAAAAATAAAACTTCTCTTTCTACCTCCCACATTTATTTCAAGGAAATATCATTTACTCTTTATTTATTTTAAGAAATACATCTTTCATATGTTGATCATCCTCTTATCACGAGTTTAAATTTAAGGAGTTTTGTATATGTCAACAGATGGTATGGTCTTTTTCTAGGACATATATATATTTGGTAACTTATGTTCTAAATATAGTCCATATGTTTTTTTTTTATTCTTGATTAATGATGGTATTAACTTGACTCTGAACCATTAACTTGTCTCTCTAAATAGAATAGTTTTTATCTTAATACTAAAAAGAAACATTAAGTATTTAATTAATGATTGTAAAAAAGATTCATTGCTGAAGTTGCATTTTATCTTAGGTTTTTATAGTTCTTATTTTTGGCATTATTACAGACCCATGAAAACTGCTTTAAGGACAAAAAGTTATCCCATATATATTTTAAAAACTTTTCTTATGAATAAAAGTAGGAGTGGAGGAGCACCAATGAGTCTCCATGTACAAACCTGAAAAAACATCTAAGAGGTCAATCCTTCATTGATAAATATAGATTCTACCACTGCATTGAGTGTGAAACATTATTTTCTCTACTCCAGACAAATTTAACTGTTGTATTGCATGAGATTTTTGATGGTAGAATCTGTTTCTCTAATGATTTTAGATGATCTAGACAAACTTAATCCTTGTTTTCCAATGAGCTGCAAAAAGATATGTTCTTTCCAAGTGACGTTAATAGGCATGGTGGCCTTTTTTTGACATCACAATAGGAAATTCAGAGGAAAGTGCTGTAATTGAAATTTGACCAATGAAGAACTGAGATCCAATGAACCACACGAATCGACGATGATAAAAAAAAAATAATCCAATAGGTCAGAAAAAGGACAAATCGGCAAAAATTAGTGAAAGTTGTTTATAAATTTTATATAAGATCTGCTAAAATTTAGTCAATTACAGACAAACTTACAAGTAATGTGCTCTGGATGCTCATCTTCTTTTTAAATCAACATGCTAAATTTTGTGGGAAAAATATGTTTACTTGCTGTATCAGTTATTCCAAGTTAACATGATTGTGTCCAAGTTTGAAAAACTAAATGAGAGTGAGAATAACCAGTATATAAGCATTAAAGTCAATTTTAGAAAAAAATTTATTAATCTTTTGACAAAAAAGATCATTTAAAACTTTTAAACAAATGTAAGCTGTTGAAATTGAAATGGCTGGGGTAATTAGCTATATTCAGTTGAGTATACCTCATATTTACCTTGGTTCCACCTAATCATTTTTATAGATCCTCTTCAGACAAGATGTATTATGGTATATGGTTGTCAATCCGTTTTTCATTTCATCCATTCATCCATCCATCTGTTCCTTATGTCAACAATTCTTATATTGACTCAAACTTGCTATTACTAATTCTTGTGAAATTTTATCAAAACATTAGGATTGACAGAAGAGAGCTCCTTTTGATTTTTATGATTTCACATTTTGTCACTCCAGAGTTATGGGACTTTATTCATGGCTTCTAAATATTCCATTTTAATCTGGCAACAGTTATATTATGCATAAGATAGGGGTAACATAAACTCTTGGTGCAGCTGCTAATTTGTGTGTGCACCTAAACTTAAAAAAATTATCTCTTGATGAATTGAAATAGATTTAACCACCATGCAATTGATTAATATATGTAAATGGCTTCTTAGAAGACAGTTATATAAATAAAACTAAAAGCAAAATAGTGTACTTTATTATCTCCTTGAGGACAATGTCATTAGAATAATTATTATGTAATATTTAAAAAAACATAACTGATGACTCTGTCATGTATAAGGTGCACAAAGTGTAGTGTGACTGTCCAATGTTTTTGCCCTCCCTGAAATGAAAAGAATCATACTGTGTTAAAATGGCAACATCAGCGGAAATTGTCCATTTTATTCATTATAATATTATGTTTCTTGTGGTATCATTCTAATAATACCCTGTCATATGTGATGTTTTTTATTGGAATCTTCACCCTGGCAAAGTAATCAAAATGTTAGTTTCATCTAACTCTTAGCCTTTGATCTTGAAGTTTATGATACTACAGAATATAAAACCAAAACTGTACCATGATGTGATACATCTGTATGTAAACTTATGATCAGCAATAAAAGGGACATTACAAAAAACTTTTACTCAACCCTTTTAATCATTACCTTTGCCTGTTTCTGTAGTGAAATTTTAGATTTCAATGAAAATAGTCTATGTATTACTGATAAGTTATTAAGTCAGGAATTTCTTTACCACAAATTAGTTAAAACCTTTACAAAGATTTTTTTGAAGTAATGCTCTACCTGTAGAAACCTTATTATTAATGGGATATCACATCCTAAATTTTAAAGTGATGTTGTTTATCAGAGCTCATCAATTCAGAAATGATTCATGATAACTTACTGATTCTTTGAGTAAACTTTAACATTGTAGTTAGATCTTTGAATGTTGTTTTTATCAGGACTAAAACTGATTATACTTTTATTAGTATAGAACATAACTAAACATGCATTGCTATCCATTTATTGACACTTTTGGTCCTAGAGAGTGTCAATACTTATATTTTGGCATTGCATGTACATGATTGTCTGGCAGGGTTCATTTGACCTTAACATTCTCTCATTTACACGGATTGTTGAAACAGTATTAAAGTTTATTTGATACTTGTAGTAAAACCTTTGTCTTCAAGACTCAACAGAAATTCAGTCATGATCAGTAAAATTTGAAAAAAACTTTTCATTATGTGCAATCTTGTTTAAATTTAGAGCCTCAATTTCATATATATATATATAGAAATAAGTGTAGTGCATTATGTTTCACCAATGTTTTTTATTTACAATGCTCATTTCATTCTACAATTTTTCTCAATATCTAAAAATTAGCAACACATGGTGAAACTGTATGGACTACCCTTAATTAGTCATTACAATCCGTTAAGGAATTTTTACCATAAATGGCATTTTAATTAAAATTTCAGATGTTTAACACAGGACAAATTCAGCATTAATCAATTTGGAATTTACATTCCTTAGATGTTTCTTTTTAATGGCAGTAATTATATTATAAACACAGGAATCATCAATATAAAGTACATTGTAATTGATCTATAATGCTGTAAGGGAATATGTTGAATGTTTCATTATCTTACAAATCTTGGAAATAAATGGAAATTTTAAAGTACAAGAAACCTCCAGTATTTAACTATGGATAGAGAACAGTAGCTGAAATCAGTGCCATTCATGAGCAAAACCTTCACTATTATTCATATGAAGTGAAGGTGTTAAAGGGAAGTAGTAACACTCTCATTTATTTGTGTGTATGTTTGTCCATCTGGTCATATTTTTATGCACCTTACATCCAGTCTTTATCCAATATTATTAATTACTGTGCCTTGTGGAGAGCTGGGACTAGGAGGAAAAATCACAATAAGACCAAAGGAAAAATTTGTAGGCTAAATATGATCCCACTCTTGTGCCAAATACTCACTAAATACCAAACCAATGCTTAACCATTGGGTGAATCAACAGTCAAGGTCACAAAATGACAAGCAATAAATGTCAAATACTTGACCATAAAAAGCTATTGAAGGGTATTTCATTTTGAAGGTCATAGGCAAAAGTTTAAGGTCATAACATGATTTAGGAATTAAACACTTGTAGGCACAGCAATGCCCAAGTCTTGCATCCCATATTCGTCATTTTTCTGTTATTGTCCAATGCTTAGCAACAGAGAGAAGTTATATTTTAAGCACTGTATTTATTTTTCATTATTTTGATCCTCTTATTGTATGTGTGATCTGCCAGATGTGTGAATCAATGAACAAGTTTTAGATGGGAATACTCTATGTACTTTGTAGAATAATGCATTACATATAAACCATATAGAAACACAGCTGTATATCAACATCACAGAAGATTTTGTAGTAGTCTCTCTCAAGCCAAAAAAAAAAAACCCAAAAAAACTTCATGTTGTAAAAAATATTTCATTTACATTAAAAGGTGAAATGTAAAACAACAATAACGTATAATATAAATGTGCTCCATTATTACTTTATATATTAATTTGTATCTTTTCACTTTGGGTGATTGATGTATCTGTATGTAGTGACATTAATGTAAAGCATTTATTATTTATTTATGTCAGTCTTGACGGTAGGTAGACACTACAAATTACCTTTACCTAATGCTCTTTATTCACTCAAAACAGATATTTCATTAAAAAAATTAAAGTTTGTGGGAAACCATTTCTGACGATTGTTATTCTTCTTAGGACATTACCTTTAAAGATTGACATGTATATGTATTCAAAAATAAGGAGATGTGATATGATTGCCAATGAGATAACTATCCACCAAAGTTCAAATGAAGTGGATGTGAGCAATTATAGGCAACCATACAGCCTTCAACAATGAGAAAAACCATACTGAATAGTCAGCTATAAAAGGCCCTTACATGAAAAATGGGAAACAATTCAATTAAGAAAACTAATGGCCTAATTTATAACAAAACATTTTACCAAAAAACAAATATGACAGACATGAACTAACAGCAACGTCTGAACTACAGGCTCCTGAGTTCTTGCTTTGAAATATTAATGATATATATGAGAAATCTAATATAATGAGGGTAAAGATTAACCAGTCTTAAGGAAAATTTGTTAAGTATTAATGAAGATGGAATTTCATGGATTACCTATACTTTGAAATTTGATATCAAATAATTGACTTTTGCTGTGCAAACAAAACTATTCATTTTACAAAAGAAAAGAAAATTCGTTTTCTTTAGATGTCATCACATAATTGTTTTTAATCATGTACAAGTGTCGAGAAATTTTTCCACATGACTTTTGTTTATTTGTGTCTCTTCTTTAAAATGAAAAACCCCAATTAGCTGTATATGTCCATCTGATAAGGACACTCAAAAATCAGTGTTACTGTTTATTTAATTGCAAGTGATAAGTATCAATTTTTTATATTTTTTGTAAGTCGGACCTCAAAATTATAGTGTATTAACATTTCCACCATTTTTAGTTAGCTACATTTTTAGTTTTTTATATGTCATTGACTTTCAGCATGCCTATTAGCAACACCCATGAGGTCTAGATCTATTGTCCGATTGGATGTATTTAATTTACACTAAGATATTATGGTTAATGCTAAAAGATAGATTTCAATGATTTAGGAGGGGAGTCTTTCAGCTGTATTACCGTATGTTGTTGAGAATATCGCAGGAGTTACGATGGTACATTTTACCTATTGGATCTCGGGTGACATCAGTGCTGGACGTAACCTTAACACTTAGAAACATATATGAAGTAAACATTAAAACAGTATGGTTGTGTTCTGCTTACTTTGTTACAATAGTTGATATAGCCCCGACATTTATAATCCAGGCTAGGCACCATAAATGTTGGGGCTAAATCAACTATTGTAATATAGACAGGAGAAAACAACCATACTGTTTAACTTTCACTTCATATTAGATGTTTCTACGTGTTTAGGCTACGTCTGTCACTGACGTCAACCCTAGATACAGTAAGGTAAAATGTGATGTTGTAACTCCCCGGATACATGTTTTTAAGTAAGCATGATAAATGTACGATATCTTAATTACATTTAATGACATTTTGATTACATTCTGTGTATCCACTGTTGTTTAAAATGTTAAATTTTGAATCTTTGATCAAATATATATTCCTGTTAAAGCTTCTGAAATTTGATTTGTTTATATAAAAAATCCACCTACTTATTGTTTTATTTAGTGTCATGACTCAAATAAAATCAATTAATTTGCAAGGCCAAGATATATTTATTGCCTTCTTAACATGATTTGTGTTGCCTCAGAGGCAAACTTTCAACCAATTAGATGTGATTGGAACAATTATTCTGTTAATATTGACAGGTTATACCATTGTTATTTGACAAGAATTATTAAAAGTACAAACGGAAAATTTTAATTTTTAATGGGCCAGAAAGTCGTCACTTCTTATCTTCCAACAAATGTTTTGTAAAAACTTTACATTGATTTGTGTCATTTATGATGTCAAACTTGTGTATTTGTCCTTTAATGGGAGTTATAATGATTGATATTTTGTTTTCCTGATGTTTTATGTGTGGGAAAATAACCTAATTATTGAAATTCAAACTTGTTTTGCAGAGTTACTGTTGAATGTTTGTATTTCATAGATATGGAAATACTACGTAATAAAATACCGTTATTGCTTTGTAGTTCATTAGAATCTATTACGGTACACTTATTGTGTTATAATTCACTCGTCAATACCATATACAAATTGTATCAATGCTGTTTAAGATGTTCAAAGCTCAACTTGAACTATTGAAGCTAGAAAATAACAACAGGAAATTGAAAGTCTGATGAATTTTTTTTTAAGCTTGATTAGTTTAGAAAGTGTTGCATTTAAATCTTGAAACTTGCAAACAAAGATTATTAAGTTGTCGTTTGACATTAATGTAAGCGGGGCCTCAATTTGGGAGTGGAAGGTAGTAAGAGTAGATTCATTTAGCCTATCATCACAATGTTAGCGATTTATTTTACACCTAAGTCATGTATAAGTAGGTTTATTTCACTCTAGTGTGTAGTATTTCACTGTAAGGCATGTTAAGGGTGTAAATGTCTGTAACTTACTGAAGGTTGTTGGTCTACACTGTAAGACTTATTAGGGGTATAACTTGTCCGTAACTTACTGAAGGTTGATGGTCTACACTGTAAGACTTATTAGGGGTATAACTTGTCCGTAGCTTACCGAAGGTTGGTAGTCTACACTGTAAGACTTATTAAGGGTATAACTTGTCCTTAACTTACTGAAGGTTGTTGGTCTACACTGTAAGACTTATTAGGGGTATAACTTGTCCGTAACTTACTGAAGGTTGTTGGTCTACACTGCAAGACTTATTAGGGGTATAACTTGTCCATAACTTACCGAAGGTTGGTAGTCTACACTGTAAGACTTATTAGGGGTATAACTTGTCCGTAACTTACTGAAGGTTGTTGGTCTACACTGTAAGACTAATTAGGGGTATAACTTGTCTGTAACTTACTGAAGGTTGGTAGTCTACACTGTAAGTCTTATTAGGGGTATAACTTGTCCGTAACTTACTGAAGGTTGTTGGTCTACACTGTAAGACTTATTAGGGGTATAACTTGTCCGTAACTTACTGAAGGTTGATGGTCTACCCTTTGTAACCATTTCAATCATGGAAACTGACTGTATTTCTTTAAAGCAATTGCACACAAAATGAAAACATGCATAGTCCAGCTACCAACTAATTTGAACAATGAAATTAGATTTCGGCACATAATTTTGAAAGTCATTTTGTTGAAAAAGTGATTTTCTGTTTCTAAGTATATAGCACATTGTTTACCTATATTATTGATTTTAATTTTTCTTTGGTTGTATTGTTTTGATATATTTCATCTTAAGTCAAAGTATTAAAGTAACATCATTTTCCTTTCTATTTCAGCTAGTGGTGTAAAAGGTCGAGGTGTCCCAGTGATATGTGTAGTATTAGAAGGAGGTGCGAACACAATACGTTCTGTGTTAGAGTATGTTACAGACACACCCCCAGTACCTGTTGTGGTGTGTGATGGGAGTGGCAGGGCTGCTGATTTGCTGGCATTTACACATAAATATACTCTGGACGATGGGTAAGGCAATAAACTCTGTGACTTTATTAATGCATATGTCATAGATAAGCATGAAAACATGATGCAACCAAAACGGTAATTGAATTCCACTTCTCCAAGAAGTTGACCAAATCTTTCTACTCTCTCCTAGAAGGAGAAGTCACTTCTCCCTCTCCAATGTTCTAACTAATATCACCTCATTTAATTGGATTAATTAAATTATAGAATAGACCCAAGGAATACAGCATATTCTATATAAAGAAGGTACTTTTGCATTTTGTAATGACAGTCACAATCAAATATGGTTTCTGTCAGCCACACTTGATTAGACCCAGGAACTACAAGTCAGAGGTTCTTGAAATTTGGCATCAAGCTTAATGTGAGCATGCTTTACCTTGTGATGTATTGTCACATTCATCACTCATTAACTTCCTGTTTACAGAATACTTAAAAGCAGGGATCATTAGTGAGCAATAGAGTTTGACTTGTTTGGAGTTGATTCCAGTCTAATGTTTAGTGTGTCAGATACAAGACAGTTCAGTGATGCAGGCTCAATTCAGATTCCAATTTGAAAGATCATTGAAATACAGATTTTAGCTTATTTGTCACAATTCAAAATTTTAATATTTGATGAAGTCTCTTGTAAGAGATATCATCAGTTGGTCAAATACATTTAATTTTTTTTTGTACAAGCAAATCATTTCATGCATTGAATAATTGATTATAATAGTGAATAAAACTTTATATCAAATATTATTAAAATATATTGAGGTTCCAGAAATTGTCGTATTTGCCAGTCATGTCAGATTTAGAATTCAAATGACTAAAATGAAACTCCCAATTTTGGTCAAATTGAATTTGAAAATTTACCTGACAGGAGAATATTGAAAATGATTTAAAAATAATAATTTATTCAATTCGTAAAAAAAAAAATTTTGAATTTGTTGAAGGTCTTTTTATGCCCCGCCTACGAAAGTAGTAGGAGCATTATGTTTTCTGGTCTGTGCATCTGTTCGTTCATCCGTTCGTCCGTCTGTCCTGTGTCAGATTAAAGTTTTTGGTCAAGGTAGTTTTTGATGAAGTTGAAGTCCAATCAACTTTAAACTTAGTACACATGCTCCCTATGATATGATCTGTCTAATTTTAACCCCAATTTCACGGTCCACTGAACATAGAAAATGATAGTGTGAGTGGGGCACCCATGTACTATGGACACATCCTTATTATATACTACGTTTTGATAAGATGCTTAATCGTAAAATGTTTGTCAGTCACGTTAATACACTTTTACAAATAATTATGAATTTAAAAAATATGATTTATTGCCATTTCGATAAAAAAAAGAAAAAAAAAGGAACTAATATCTTAAATCTAGAATCATTTAAATTTTAAAATCTTAACATCTGAAGTAGCAGATTGTTTCCCAAGGAGTAAGTAACATGGAGTCATTTAAAATGAAATTGTTTCAATTTTGAACTGTTTCATGCTACAAATCCTTCCTTTTACAAAAACAGGTACCAAGAGTAAGTGCTTTAAAAAGCATTCCCTACTAATGTAGATAAGTGAAGCACAAACTGGGTTGAATAAAATACATTAATTACATTGTTTAATTGGTATTGTGACTCATTTGTAGAAAGTACCAAGAGTCAGTGCTTAACGGGGGAAATCCCTACTGGTACTTAATGACAGTGGCATAGAACTATTTGAATACAAATTTAATTTCTGTTGATACAGAAGTCTTTCATCTTATAAGAAATCATTGTAGGACATGCATATACATATGCCTAAGTGACAGTTTATAACATAATAAAAACCTCATTATTAATTCAGCTGTTGTCACAGATGTCACAACCTGATAACTAACGATGATTGACAAGTTATGAATTTTTCTGTGTAAGGTACATAATATTATAGTGTTAAGCTATCAGTCAGCTGTCCTTGTTAGATGTAAACATTAAAGGTTATTGTTGACTAAGCAAGAGTTCTATGGTAATCCCTCCCCAGGCTTTTTATAATGTGCTAATTTGAATAACAGTATTTAAATTACAGGAAATGTTCATTAAATATACATGTACTTAAAATAGACTTTGTCTTCAAATATGACTAATGGAAAAATTCAGAAATGTATAACGCAATATCGCACTTGTATGCCATTCATGGCAGCTAATTGCATATTTATTATTCCTATGCAACCCTGAACTCAGTTTCACAAAGTATGATCATGACTTCCATGCATGTAACATAAAGCTAATGCATTTACTTCTGCACAAGCAAGTTTTGTGATAGATGACATTCAAAGTCATGCTGTTAACTGTACATTTCTGATGTTACAATGCTTATGTAATTACATCACAGTAAGAGTCCATTGTTTAATGACATTATTTATGAACTCTCAATTGGTCTATTGTGATTTGCATTATAGATGCAGATGCATTGTTTAAAGCGCTGAACAATTTGACCGAAAGCTTATCTCTCCCAAAGTACAAGTTTGAGTTACTGCCATTACTTTGAGTTTGTTATTTATCCATAACACTTTCATATTTTCATCATCTACTCTAAATTAAGGATGACAGGTTTGACGAGATAATGCTCCTTGTCTTCTTTTCTTCAGATTGGTTGGAAATATCATCAGAGCCATTTCTTTATTCTGATTGGTCATTTTGCATGTTTTGACTATTGAACCACCTATTTGAATTTTCTAAAATTATAAGAAATGATGATTTGGACTCTCTCGCTCCAATTTACAGCATTACATTGCTGTGTAGGACTTTAAACACCTCAATATTGTATCATATAGACCCTCTACAAAGAATCATCATCTCTTGTTGGATGGTTAGCCTTACATGGTTGCAATGATTTCTTGTTGGATGGTTAGCCTAATATGGTTGCAATGATTTCTTGTTGGATGGTTAGCCTTACATGGTTGCAATGATTTCTTGTTGGATGGTTAGCCTTACATGGTTGCAATGGTTTCTTGTTGGATGGTTAGTATGACATGGTTGCAATGATTTCTTGTTGGATGGTTAGCCTAATATGGTTGCAATGATTTCTTGTTGAATGGTTAGTATGACATGGTTGTAATGATTTCTTGTTGGATGGTTAGCGTCACATGGTTGCAATGATTTCTTGTTGTATGGTTAGTATGACATGGTTGCAATGATTTCTTGTTGTATCGTTAGTATGACATGGTTTCAATGATTTCTTGTTGGATGGTTTGTATGACATGGTTGCAATGATTTCTTGTTGTATGGTTAGTATGACATGGTTGCAATGATTTCTTGTTGGATGGTTAGTATGACATGGTTACAGTGATTTCTTGTTAGATGGTCAGCATGACATGGTTGTAATGATTTCTTGTTTGATGGTTAGCCTTACATGGTTGCAATGATTTCTTGTTGAATGGTTAGCATGACATGGTTGCAATGATTTCTTGTTGGGTGGTTAGCCTTACATGATGCTTTTAAGTGTGTTGTAGACTGGCTCACATGTCATATTTTATATTTATCATTGGGCCTATCTGAACCAAACTGTATAGGTACAGATCATAATTTACTTTTTCGTCTGATTTTTCAAAAGATTCCTCATTTTCCAAGGTATAAATTTGCACAAATAAAATGTTTGATCATTGAAGAGAATGAAATGATAATGATCCAAGTGTCAGACAAGATGTTTGAATGATGTGAAAATTTCCACTATTTTATATGAATGATTTTGCAATGTATTGATTGTTAACATCTGTGTACAAAAGCCTTTATCACAGTGTGTAACAAGAATATGTTGCATGCAGTAAGTCATTTTACTAAATTATATACCTCTCTAATAAAAAGTTATTTTGGTTTTTACTTGTAGACTCAAGTATTTCAAAATTACTCAAGTTTGACAAAAGTTTCATGTGAATTACAGGAGGTCTTAAATGTAAAATGTTTAATACATTGAAACATTTTTTTTAACAAGTTATTTCCAAAATAAGTTCTTATATACAGCCACAGTTCAGTTTTTGTCTACTTGGATTGAAAATGAAACCATTGCAGATGAATTCCACAATCCCATGGAGATGTTTGCTAATGCTTAAAATAGACAGTTTGAACCAAATTAGAGAAATGTTACATTAAAGATTCTTTTGTAAATTCACATGACAAATCCATCATGTATCAAATAAAGTCCGTTTTAAAAAGAGGAAAAAAGATCTTGAAAATTTGTTTGAATATAAGCAATCTATTTAAAAATGTCATCAAAGATGGCTGTTATGACTGAAAAAAATTAATAAAAAGGTCAGCAATGATTATTTTTAAGTAGCATGTTAAAGTGGGAAAATGGTTAATTTTCTATTTGAAATCATCAGAATCCTTAAATTATATTTAATCATTATAACATATAGCAATAATATTAACTTTGTTACTGAAAATGGAGAAAAGTAAACTATAAACTGTAAACTACATCTGTGTCGGGGATGATAAAAGACAGAAGCAGACAAACAAAATAGAAACTACTTCTTATTGTAGGTTTTAAGTATATTTAAGTGACACACCTAAGGGGTGCTTATGTGAAACAAACGGCATTCACTTCACCAGTGTAAACTTTAAACAAATATTTCCTTGTATATTGTTGATGCTGTAATGGCTTTATACAAAATAAACAAAGACATTTTACCTATCTTATTACATGAAATGTATTTTGGTATTACAGAACTATGCCAGAAAGTTTACGTGACCAGCTGATACTGACAATACAGAAAACATTCCTTTATAACCAGGAACAAGCAGAGAAGTTATTTATAGAGCTGATGTTATGTGTTAAAAAGAAAGAACTAGTAAGTAAAGGGTGGTTAGATAGGAGAGTTTAAGTCAGTCTGGTTGTTTAAGTTTTTATAAAAATGTTAAATACTGATGTGAATGATTTTACACTAAAACTGTAAATTTGAAGAATGGTCAGAGTACATTATTGTAAAGAGGGGATTTATGTGGTACTAAATTGTAGCATGCACAGTCAAACAAACCAATTGTGCTTTGAATGTGGTTCAACATACAGTTACAGCAATAACTGGATACTTATAACTAAAATCCAACACAAATTATTCCTAGAATGTATGTAAACTAAATCATTTGATTTATATTTATATATTCTATGCATTTAAACAAGTTTGCCTTTGTATGCTGCCATACAATATTGTATTTCTTAAATATATACAGTAGTTTTCCCTGTAATTAAATCTCTTCTATAAAGACCACCCATTTTATAAGGACAGAAACCTTGCACTAAGCTGGATTTAAGTCAACATTAATTATTGTCAATGGCCACCTCTCAATCATGAGTAATTACAACCCAATTTTGCATGGAAATATAAAAACTTGAGAATTAGAAAAAACTCTTGAAGTAGTCTGATTAATTTAAGATTTTAATTAAACAGCAAACATGTTTGTCAGTCACCATGTCCAAACATTAGTTTGGTACATGGGTTATAGATAGATGTGAAATAGTTGATTATAAGGTAAACCTCGATGAGAAAGAGAACATCAAAGAAGAATCCTCAGTTCATTATACATGTCTAGGGCAAAAATCAATATTAAAAGTAATGCAGTGATGTAATCTATATTTTGGAATTAATAAGTACCAAAAGGAAGCCTTCAAAAGATCACCTAACTTTCAATTTTTTAATTTTCCTGTTATTTGTGGGCTTTTAATCTAAAGAATACTCATTGTGTTCTGACACACAAGAAAACATGTTTCTTGTAAATCCCTCCCATTTACGGAGCAGGACCAACAGTGGTAATTAACATTGTTTAATAGGTTAACTCTACTTTTTAGTGCCGCCATACTGGATCAGAACTTTACACTTTTCCTCAGTCTACATGGCTTATCATTGTGCAGCTGACTTATTACCTCCTTTTAAGGAGCAAAAAATAGAAATGATTGCAATAAAACAGTGTAAATTTCTACATCTGTGGCTGAGGTCCAAAATGCCTGGATTTAAATACACTTCCTAAGCAAGACCCCTAGTAATAAAATAGAATGATTGTATAGGAAGGTTTTACTTGGGGGCTTTATAACCCACCAGTTTAGTTTTTGTCTTGCCTGCGATAAAAGTCACGTAAAGCGAGACTTAGTATTGCTTTTCTGGCGGTGGCAGAGGAGGATTGTCAACATTTGTTAAGTTTTCTGCTGAAGTTAGTTTGATAGGAATACTTGTTATAGATCAATTATATTTTCTATAAAGTTGCATTACTATCAGTACATATCAGTGTGACAACTATTTCGAGGCCCTGTTGCCTAGGTCACGGTCCAGTGACTTTGAATTTATTAGCAATTTTCAATGTTAAGTTTTCTGCTTAAGTCAGTTTGATAGGAACTACTTGTGATAGATCAATGATATTTTCTGTATCAACAGTTTATTTTTTAAAAGTATTTATGGCCATTAATAGTTTGAAAGAGAAATCTGACGCAGATAAATATTTATGAATTGTACAATTGATAAAACCCCCCTCAACAACAGTGTGATTGTATATGAAAAAGCATTTAAAATTAGTAGGGAAGGCTAGAACAAAATTAAATTGAAAGTTAGCATTCATTACATTGTGCATTGTGTATACAATGCTGTGTTTATTTATTGCATAAATATTGATTTTTTAGATAACAATATTTAGAATGGGAGAAGGTGCTCAGGATATTGATTTAGCAATTCTAACAGCTTTACTTAAAGGTTTGTATAATTTATAAATTAAATATATTTTTTAATTTGATAGTTCTAACAATAACACAACAGTAGATAAAGTACCCTTAACCTGGTCAACCTTTCTCTGATCTGAATTTAATCTGAATTTAATATATATAAAATTCAGGTATTCACTAACTTACTTCTCCAAATATTACTTTCAATTGTCACAGAAAACACACCTAATTTAACAAAAAAATGATTGTGTTGTCAAAATCCATCTGAAGAAGGTATCTGTCAATGTTTTTGTCAGGTTTTCAAAGAACCTGGCCTTAAATGTAGAAAAGTTACCAAGATTTGAAGGAAAGGACTACAGTACAATAGGATGAAATAGTTCAGTTTTCTAGTTTTCTCAGGAAGTGTGACCCAGAAAATCAAGTTTAGAACAAACTGGTCTGACAAATATAAATAAGCTGGATATGGGGTAGTTGTCAATGAGATAGCAACCCAGTATTAAAACAAAATATGAAACCTATGACAAAGTTGCAAAATATTTGCTCTGCCATTTAAGAATAAAATGTTGTAAATCCAGAAGTAAATGCATACTCTTATTTAGCAAATGTCTGATGGTTGAAGAAATTGTGAGATTAATTCCTTGCAGTCTTCACAGAAAACGTATATATCTAATGTAAGGGAATTTAGGAGTATAAAAGTACATGTAATAGTACCAAAAGTAAAATTTTGTGTCTCTAAGTAAACAATTTTCAATCTGTTGCTTTTATCACATCAAATATGCATTGCCAATATTTCTGAACTATTGCATAGTAAAATAATTTATACAATGTTTATATTTGCCTGATATGAACACTTAGAACCAAGGCTATTATTAGATTTATTATTTCTCACTATAGAAATAAAGTGGTACAATTAAAGTTTATGTCTGGTTCAGTCAGCATCCTAACAATTGGAAGTGGCATTGCTGTTTACAATGGTGTTATATTTTATACTTATCTGTTATTCTATGCTATAATATGTGAAGATTTTATGATGCACGCCAAAAATGCACACATTTAGTTGACAGATTCAATTCACAGAAGATTTGTGTTGGATTTTGATTAAGATGAAATGCCAATGTCTACTAGAGTGTGAATAAATAATTGATGCGATAGATTTAATGTGATGAATTATAAATCAATGAATTGATATTTTTATAGCTGTCTAAATGTCAACTGCAGAGGGACATATTGGATTCTAATTCTTATTACATCATTTGATTACAGCAACTAGAAGTTGTAGAATTGTTGTAATCAAAGTTTCATTTCAAATTTAATTATCAAGTTAAATACATGTTGCAAACTATTCTGCCAAATTCTTGTTTGTTCTTGATTGCACTAATACAAATAGTTAGTAAGGTGATCTGGAGAAATTATGTCACGTTCTAAACCTTGTATAGCTATCCTTCCTTAAGAGCAATTTTTGAAGTTTGTATGCAATTTGTACTGAGAATTTGAGAAAGTGATTGGTAAAAAACAAATGTTTATGCTTTCCCTGGATGGTGACATTAATTCAAACCCCCTCATTTTGGAGTGTGAAAATGTCATGCCCTCTAGCTACTCATTGCAAAACTTCAAAAAAATTCTTGGAGAGGAACCCACCTCCATTACAGTTGACGCCTTAGGCCTTTTGCAGAACTTACTTATTTAATTTGTTGTTTATGAATAAAAGATGTGATATGATTGCCAATGAAACAACTCTCCACTAGAGACCAAATGATGTAGAAGTTAGCATGTATAGGTCACTGTACAGCCTTCAACAATAAGCAAAACCAATACTGCATAACAAGGGACAAAATGCCCTCACATGATAAACGTAAAACAATTCAAAAGAGAAAACTAATGTAGGGGTAATGATTTGAACAGTTTGTTTTCATCCTGAATATGCATGAAATATTTGCCACTTAACATTAAGCAAACAACAATTAGTCAGACAATCTAAACAGTTATATTAACAGTAAAACATATGAAAGATTTCTATTATCATGAAAAAGATGAATATCAATTTCTCCTTTAGGTGGACACTTTTATACAATGCTCTATCAGTTGTATAAAAATAAAGTTGGGGTCAAGTTTTGAGATATTTATTGGTAAAGTTGTGTGATATTCATTGGAAATGCTGTGGATTATTTATTGGTAAAGTTCTGGGATATTTGTTTTGGGTTATTTTTTGTTTTTAAAGTTGTGGTTTATTTGTTGATAAATCTGTGGGTTATTTGTTGGTATAATTGTGGGTTAACTATTGGTAAAGTTGTGGTACATTTCTATGTAAAGTTAAAGTTGTGGGTTATGTGTTGGTAAAGTTGTGGGATAGTTGTTGGTTATTTGTTGGTATAATTGTGGGTTATTTATTTGTAAAGTTAAAGTTGTGGGTTATTTGTTGGTATAATTGTGGGTTAACTATTGGTAAAGTTGTGGTATATTTCTTTGTAAAGTTAAAGTTGTGGGTTATGTGTTGGTAAAGTTGTGGGTTATTTGTTGGTAAAGTTGTTGGTTATTTGTTGGTATAATTGTGGGATAGTTGTTGGTAAAGTTGTGGGTTAATTATTTGTAAAGTTAAAGTGGTGGGTTATTTGTTGGTACATTGTATAACTGTGGGTTATTTGTTGGTAAAGCTGTTGGTTATTTGTTGGTTATTTGTTGGTACAGTTGTGGTTTATTTGTTGTTAAACTTGTGGGTTATTTTTGTTGGTAATCTTGTGGGATTTTTGTTGGTATTATTGTGTTAATTGGGTTAATTATAAGTTAAGTTATGGGTAATTTTTTGTAAAGTCAAAGTTATGAGTTATTTTTTGTAAAGTCAAAGTTATGGGTTATTTATTGATATGGATCTTTTTTATTTGTTGGGTGTTCTTTACAAGTCTGTAATGTTCTCAAAATGATGTTTAAATTCAGAAATTTTCATATCTTTTCAAAGGAAGATGTGTATCTAGTTGACTTATTTGTGTTTTGAATGTTCTTCATATGAAATTTTAAGTTTTAATGTTACTTTTTCAGGAACAAATGCCAGTGCTCCAGACCAGTTAAGTCTTGCGTTAACATGGGATCGGGTAGACATTGCACGTAGCCATATATTTGTATATGGACAAGAATGGCCGGTGAGTTAAGCTGTTTAGAAAGTTTTCATAAGTTTCAGTTAAATTTTCAAATGTACTCCATACATTAAAGAGCTTGATCATGTACAATAGTCATTTATACATCTTTTAAGATTTCCTGACCAAAATGGTGATTAGTATTTTTTTTTTTCAAATACAACAAAACTAATCATTTACTTTATTTTGGACAAATATAATGTCCAGAGTAGGAAAAAAAAAACTTGAAACCCTGTCTAAATTCATCAATTCTTTACATGACATTTGCTGCTTTACATAGACCATCAGTGTCTTATTAAGCAATCATGTCAAAAAATGGAAGGCATGTCCAAGTAAGAAGGTCAACTGAAATAAGAAGAAGAGTAACTGCATTCATTGCCCACTTATATTACAGCTAATAAAAAATTCTCTAAAGCTATCTCAAATTAATTAGTAATTTTATTTTCAAATAAGCATGAATATATATCATGGCTTTAGTGCAATGATGTTAATTATTATGTCACTGTGAACTATAAAACATGTCATATTTTGCATAATTGACTACAAATGGTCATTTTATGCATATTTTTAGTATAGAATTTAATATTTGCTAGCGCCTAACCAAAATATATAATTGATTGACATCAGTATCTTTGAAAAAAAAACATTGTGTGGTTGTTAACTGGTAGATTCAGGCTGTTTGGCATTAATTTATCATCTCGCTCCCTCAATAGTATAAGCACTGACATATATTATAGGTCATCTGAATTTGATACTTGTTGCGTGAATATAAAAATGTGGTTCTCAGGAAGAAGCCATGATGAATACTATCATTAATGGCATAATATTTGTATTTCTTAGAAGGTTGTCAGGACATTTAACATGATGAAAATTCAGATTTAAACAAGGAATTATTGGAATAATTTTGAATTCTGGAAAGTTGATAAGAAATGTATGATGAAAACTAACTAAAATTTATGAGGGTTAGTCATGGCTAAGGGGGGTTAGTTAGTTCATACTGAAATAGTGAAAGTATGATTAACCTTCCCTATTTAGTTGGGTTTGTCTTCATCATATATTTCTTATCAGTTTTCCAGAAATCAAAATTATTCTAGATTCAAATAATTCCTTGTTAAATTATGACCTAATTCTTATTTTTGGGCGTAAAGATTGCAATCAAAACCTTAATATGACTGGCGTAGTGGTTATATTTTCCAGACCGCATCACTCCTTTTGAGAGGAAAAAAACAAATTGCATTGAGGTGAACATTTTTTTATCATTGAAATATATACTCAGATATTCAAGTAACGATATGATTTGTATGTGTATAACCATACTTGTCAAGAAAACTATTTTAGTGAATATATTGCTTCCATTGCTTAATATGATGCAATGTTTAATCTTTAGTTCGCACTGAAACATGACTTCAGTACTTACAATCACTTTGATTATGGGAAGGTTCTTTGGAAAGGGGAGTTAGGGGGGGGGACTCTCATTAATGGCGCAATACTCGGTGTTTGTAGGGAGGTTATCTGGAACAAGCCAATCCAAAGAGTTGCATGAGGTATAGACATATGGCTACCTATGAACTTCTCTGGTCAGGCAGTAAAATCCTTGCTAAATTGGGGTTTCTGTTTGACTTTGCAGGATTAGCAGCAAGGTCTGGTCAGAATGAGGATGTTAAATCTGATTTCTCATGTAGGAAGAGTGCCACACATTCTGCACATTAAAGTACCCTTGCCTAAATGTCTGTAGGTGGTCTGTTGGAAGGCAAAAGTTCTGCTACTATCCAACATGCCTTTATTTTCCAGTGGCAATCCAAATTTCTTGCCTTCATCCTGGTCAACCTAAACCCACCTATTGAATTAATTGTCATTTTGTTCTCATCTTGTATTTATCTATGGGCATTATAAGAAATCAACCATCAACCATTAATTAATCTAGAACAAGCCATGATGGATGCTCTTAGTAATGCTCTAATTAATGACCTTATATTTGTTTTTGTAGGAAGGTTCTTTAGAACAAGCCATGATGGATGCTCTTATTAATGACCTTTCATTTGTTTTTGTAGGAAGGTTCTCTAGAACAAGCCATGATGGATGCTTTGATTAATGACAGAGTTGACTTTGTTAAGCTGTTATTAGAGAATGGAGTTAGCATGAACACTTTCCTAACAATAGCTAGGTTAGAGGAACTGTACAACACTGTAAGTGGAATTATTCAAAATGCATATTAAAAATAAAATATATCTGATGGGTTATGTAATATTTATTGTCTGATCTGCAACAATAATTTCTGGACGACAGGACATCACTCATGATAAAATATTTGGCATAAAGAACCAATCTTTCTTGAAATCAATATAAATTCAAGTTCCAATGAATTATTTCTTAAGCTTATGATGAGACTGTGAGTCAGCTATTATCATCCTACTTTGACTAATTAAAATGTTCTAGTGAGAAGTTCATCCATTCATCTGTCCATTCCCTATCCTTTCATCTATTACTTTAGTCTCATATAACTGGGCTTCTGTTTTCAGGAATAATTTAACATTTGGTATAGAACTTAATAATGTTTGAAATTTTCTATGTAAGCTATTTTCAGCTCTGCACAGCTGTCACTTTGAATTTTTATAATACCCAATGAGTATAGAGTTTTCCTTCACATATTTCTCGGCCCTATGTTAAGGAAGGGTTTGATATATTTTGTCTGGAAGTTTTAAAGTTGTACCCTGTAAACAAATTCTAGATCTGCCATGCAGTCAAATCTGTTTGAAGATAATTTGAGTTATTAATTATATATTTTTATGGTAAAACCAAATGGACAAGGTATGATTTGGAATCAAATTGCCCCTTAGATAAATTGTATTTGAAATTTTTCCAAATTTTAAGAATTAAATGTTGAATATATGTACTTTAATAAAACAAAACAAAAACTGTTTTGGTGGAACTAATTAAGCTGAAATGTTCATGAAAATAGCCTAATTTTTGCCAAAATTGTCACTACAAGGTCACTTCTATGACATCACAATCAAATTGCATCATCATGAGTAACCTAATATTTTCATTTAAGACCTACATTTAGCATGTAAAAAGTCTAAGAAATAATTGTATTGGCCAATTATTTTATTTTTGGCTAATTTACAGGGCCAAATGAGTACCAAACCGTATACTTTCTGCTTTGTATGTTTTATAGAACATAAGATAAATAAAGACGTTTACTGCAATAAGCACAATGGCATATTTAAATTACAACATTATCATGTGTAAGCAACATGATATTTATGATAATATAATAATATATAGTTAACTTATATAAAACAGCTGAGAACACAATAAACATTATGAGCACTTTCAAGAAAGAGAACCTGTGTTGTTATTGTTAATTACATTAAAAAATTTGTATACAAATAATGTAACATGTATAATTAAAACATGCTTAAATTACAAATGTAGATGTAAATATAGGGAAATACCTTCATGTTTAACCCTGCCACATTCTGTATCAGCCTGTCCCAAGTAAGGAGCCTGTATTTCTGCTATGCAGTATGGGTTTTGCTCATTGTTGAAGGCTGTATTGTGACCTATACTTGCTGACACATTATCTGTATAAACATGGCGTTAATTCCAATTTATGTTTAGGAAATAATTTTTGACTGTTTAATACTTTACAGAGACAAGGTCCATCAAACACACTTCGATATCTAGTCAGAGATATTAAAAAGGTGAGTTTATCTACAAAGTAAATATTCAAAATTTTAGTGTTATATTCAAGCTAGTACAATAAACTTTAAAATGGACAACAGAATTTTTGAACAGCAGAATTGACAACAATTCAATTCAACATTTGAATCAATATATGAATTTCTTGAGTTGTTATGCGTTATAAAAATAAAAAAATAAATTATTTGTGTTGGAAATATATGCAATCCCTATAACTTGAAGTTTTAACCACAGAAAATTAATTTCTCATGTCAAGAGGCTATTTGCATATAATTAATCATCTGTATTCCTTGTCTAATTAATCCAAATAATAAAAAAAAAAACATATGTTAAGAAGACCATTTGACATTTGTGTTGTTTTATTTTGTAGCATGTACCCTCCAATTATCACTACACTCTGTTAGATATTGGTTTAGTTATAAACCATTTGATGGATGGAGCCTTCAGATCCACATATTGTAGGAAGAGATTTAGACAGAAATATAATGCTATTAAAAGAAATGTAAGGTTACAGACAGATTATAGATCTTAGTTTATTTAAAATAATCTTCAATTATTAATTCTCACAGTGGGGAGACTTTTTAGTAGACTGGTTTCTAGGTAAAAATTTTCAAATTTGTTTGGAAAAAATATTAAGAGGCTTCCTGAAAAAAAGGGAGAGTATGATTTATTTTGATAGAGGGTGGAAGGACTTTTTTGTGGGGGGGAATACAGGATTCCTTTTTCTTTTTTCTGAGAGTTCAGGATGACACTCCCTCCTATCGCCCCTCTTGATAGTGTTGTTTGGAGTGGGTAAATCCATATTTTGTTGAAATATTCTGAATTTACGTTCACATTATAAATATAGTTCAACACTATTTTTCTTTATTAACATTTGTAGTGAGAATAAGTCTGTACATTGGACTTCTACAGCTCATAAGCAGTTGTTAATTGTATGGTAATTATTTAGGTGTAGGAGATCATACTGTTTAAGTTAAAAGTTGATATATGTAGAATATTTAATGAATGTTAAGTAAATATTTCAGCTTCCATCAATAGCTGTAAGTAGAGTGTCAAGGGCATAGCTGAGAGAGCTATGTATATTTTCAACTAATTCTTGAATAGATGCTAAAACATTTTTGTTCTGTGGAAAAATTCTTCTTGTATAACTTTCAAAGTAGCTCAGACTTGAGCAAATTGCTTGCATATAAAGCTGACAAAACATGCTTGATTCAGCCTTCATAACACTATGCATAACTGAAAAAAGTTGGGTGTGTTTTCAACTAACTCTTTTGAAATAGCTATCAGAAATGTTCTTTAGAAATGCCATTTTTTCATCAAATAAGATGTTATTGAGAAAATGGGCTCATTTTTCGAAATAAGTTTGCATAGCTGACAGATACAGGCTTTTAAGCATACTTTACATACACTTCTATCATGCATATTATCCTGTTCCAACACAAGTGGACTTATTGCATGTAAAGTTAAATTATTTGTCATTTCATGACTTGTTTCAACATGAAAAAGTTTATTTCAACTAATAGTTCTAAAATGCATAACAGAATTCATTGATTGAACTCTTTTTGTTTGATACATTTTTGTAATGTAATTCTGCTTTTGTTATTTAAAATTGTTCTGTTTTTGCTCACTAAAATTATGAGATAAAAAGATTACAGATGGAAAAATATAAAATATATTGAAAACAAAATATCATTTACATATTTTGCATTGATTTATATACTGCTTTTATAATGAAATTTTCTAACTCTTCTCATTATTCTTCATCTGAGTACAAAATATGAAATAATTGTAGATCATCTTAGAATATGAAAGTTATTGGTTCAGATACCTAGAAACAAGGCTTACAGAGTATTTTAGTTACCCTAGAAATAAGGCTTACAGAGTATTTTTTATCCTGTTTTGTGTCATGTACACAATGATTTATTTCAGACAAAAAAATTGTATGTTTGTTTTCTTAACACTGTAATGTGTTAAATTGTTCAGAAGATAATATTTTAGACAAAGCAAACAGCATGAAAATATTCAGTTAAGTCTTTTCATAGAATCATTAATAGAATTTCTTATATATATGCATATTTGTCGCACACATAAATTTTGAATATTGTTGAGGTAATTTGATTAATGCCAGTTAGGTTTGAATTCATCATTTTTACCTGTTTTTATACGACCGCAAAAAAATTTTGTGGTCGTATATTGGTATGACGTTGGCGTCGTCGTCGTCGTCCGGCGTCGTCGTCCGAAGACACATTGGTTTTCGCACTCTAACTTTAGTTTAAGTGAATGGATCTTTTTGAAATTTGACCATTAGGTTAAATACCACAAAAGGAAGGTTGGGATTGATTTTGGGGGTTATGGTACGAACAGTTAAGGAATTAGGGGCCAAAAAGGGGCCAAAAATAAGCATTTTCTAGTTTCCAGACAATAAATGTGGAACGGTGTATGGATCTCTCTGAAATTATACTACAAGTTTCCATACCACAAAGGGATGGTTAGGATTTGCTTTGGGGGGTTATGGCTCAAACCGTTTAGGAATTAGGGGCAAAAAAGGGTGAAAAACAGGGTTGTGCTGGTTAATGGACAAATACTTTAGTACAAAACATAATTTAAAGCAGTGTAAGGGAGATAAATCAAATACATCATTGAAATTATCTCCCTTACACTACTTTTAAATTATGTATAAAGTAATGGTTAATGAACAATAAAGATAATTTAAAACAGTGTAAGGGAGGTAATCCAAATACAACGTTTTGGTTACTTCCCTTACACTGCTTTTAAATTATGTTTAAAGAAATGCATATTTATAAAGGAAGACCAGTAAAAATATCTGCAAATGTTGCATCTTTTTTTTTTACAAATAAATCCATATGAAAGATTTGACACTATATTTTAAATTCTATTATAAAATAGATTAAGTTAGCACTATGGTAAATTTAAATGGGTAATTGTGGTTGCCAACTCCATTGGAAATTTGAATTGAGATTATGACCATATCTTGAGGGAAAGAATTTTTTGGGGGAAAAAAGGGGGGGGGGATAAAAAGAAATTGTGGGGAGTCAATTTTTTCTCATTTCAGATTTCAGAAATTAAAAAGAATTATTCTTCAAAAATTATTTTTTTTTCAAATTTCAAATATTGAAAAATTCAAGAAGTCTTTAATTGCACAGTATGGCGCATTAGATTTGTAAAATCTTTGATCACATTTATTTATTTGTTATACCGAATCTAACAGTGTATTTAGATTTTTAATTTTGGGTCCAGTTTTCAAATTGGTCTACATTAAGGTCCAAAGGGTCCAAAATTAAACTTTGTTTGATTTTAGCAAAAATTGAATATATGAGGTTCTTTGATATGCTGAATCTAAACATGTATTTAGATTTTTGAATTTTGGCCCAGTTTTCAAGTTGGTCCAAATTGGGGTCCAAAATTAAACTTTGTTTGATTTCAACAAAAATTGAATATATGGGGTTCTTTGATATGCTGAATCTAACCATGTATTTAGATTTTTTATTTGTGGACCCCGTTATCAAATTGGTTCATATTGAGGTCAAAAGGGTCCAAAATTAAACTTTTGTTTGATTTCATCAAAAATTGAATTATTGGGGTTCTTTGATATTCCAAATCTAACCGTGTATTTAGATTTTTAATTTTGGGTCCTGTTTTTTAAATTGTTCTACATTAAGGTCCAAAGGGTCCAAAATTAAACTTAGTTTGATTTTAACAAAAATTGAATTCTTGGGGTTCTTTGATATGCTGAATCTAAACATGTGTTTAGATTTTTGATTATGGGCCCAGTTTTCAAGTTGGTCCAAGATAGGGTCCAGTATTTAAACTTTGTTTGATTTCAACAAAAATTGAATATATGGGGTTCTTTGATATGCTGAATCTAAACATGTATTTAGATTTTAAATTATGGGCCCAGTTTTCAAGTTGGTCCAAATTGGGGTCCAAAATTAAACTTTGTTTGATTTCAACAAAAATTGAATATATGAGGTTCTTTGATATGCTGAATCTAACCATGTATTTAGATTTTCTATTTGTAGGCCCCGCTTTCAAATTGGTTCATATTGAGGTCAAAAGGGTCCAAAATTAAACTTTGTTTGATTTCATCAAAAATAGAATTATTGGGGTTCTTTGATATGCCAAATCTAACCATGTTTTTAGATTTTTAATTTGGCTCCTGTTTTTTAAATTGGTCTTCATTGAGGTCCAAAGGGTCCAAAATTAAACTTAGTTTGATTTTAACAAAAATTGAATTCTTGGGGTTCTTTGATATGCTGAATCTAAACATGTGTTTAGATTTTTGATTATGGGCCCAGTTTTCAAGTTGGTCCAAGATAGGGTCCAGTATTTAAACTTTGTTTGATTTCAACAAAAATTGAATATATGGGGTTCTTTGATATGCTGAATCTAAGCATGTATTTAGATTTTTGATTATGGGCCCAGTTTTCAAGTTGGTCCAAATTGGGGTCCAAAATTAAACTTTGTTTGATTTCAACAAAAATTGAATATATGAGGTTCTTTGATATGCTGAATCTAAACATGTGTTTAGATTTTTGATTATGGGCCCAGTTTTCAAGTTGGTCCAAGTTGGGGTCCAGTATTTAAACTTTGTTTGATTTCAACAAAAATTGAATATATGGGGTTCTTTGATATGCTGAATCTAAACATGAATTTAGATTTTTTATTTGTGGGCCCCACTATCAAATTGGTTCATATTGAGGTCAAAAGGGTCCAAAATTAAACTTTGTTTGATTTCATCAAAAATTGAATTATTGGGGTTCTTTGATATTCCAAATCTAACCGTGTATTTAGATTTTTAATTTTAAGTCCCGTTTTTTAAATTGGTCTACATTAAGGTCCAAAGGGTCCAAAATTAAACTTAGTTTGATTTTAGCAAAAATTGAATTCTTGGGGTTCTTTGATATGCTGAATCTAAACATGTGTTTAGTTTTTCGATTATGGGCCCAGTTTTCAAGTTTGTCCAAGTTGGGGTCCAAAATTAAACTTTGTTTGATTTTAACAAAAATTGAATATATGGGGTTCTTTGATATGCTGAATCTAACCATGTATTTTGATTTTGGACATTGGACCATAATAGGTAAATTAAAAAAATTCAAGTTCTTAGACCACATTCTTTCTGTGTCAGAAACCTATGCTGTGTCAAATATTTAATCACAATCCAAATTCAGAGCTGTATCAAGCTTGAATGTTGTGTCCATATTTGCCCCAACTGTTCAGGATTCGACCTCTGCGGTCGTATCAAGCTGCGCCCCAGCGAAGCATTTTATTAAAAATGGTACCTATATATTCATTACAACTTCTCATTTGATCATTTTTATGCCCCACCTAGGATAGTAGTAGGGGCATTATGTTTTCTGGTCTGTTTGTCTGTTTGTTCATTAGTTTGTTCGTTTGTCCGTTCGATCGTTCGTCTGTCCCACTTCAGGTTAAAATTTTTGGTCAAGGTAGTTTTTGATGAAGTTGAAGTCCAATCAACTTGAAACTTAGTATACATATTTTCCCTATGATATGATCTTTCTAATTTTAATGCAAAATTAGAGTTTTGACCCCAATTTCACGGTCCACTGAACATAGAAAATGATAGTGTGAGTGGGGCATCCATGTACTGTGGACACATTCTTGTTATGTGTGTGTTTGTTAGATTGTTTTGTAATTTTTGGTTTCTTATATTTCATTAATGTATATAAAAGTTTTATAGCTAAATCAGTTACCCTCTTTAAATAAATGATAATTATTATTATTAATGAGGGAAGCATTGTTAGCATCACATGAGAATTAAATGTTTCTACAGTAAATATAGCTCAGCTGCACAAATATTATGTTCAATAGAATGTATTATATTTTGTTGCTAGATGTTATAAAAATATTAAAAGAATAAACAGAAAAACAGAAAATATCACAAAAAGTAGTATTCTTTGTTATAATATACTTTCCAAGGTTTTAAAAGTGCTTCTTGATAAATTCCATTGCTAACCCTGAATCGAACATGAAACAAGTTGCAATAGTACTCCATATTTTGTCAGTTAACTAATGATGTCTTACAATGTAATTGGTATTTGACTATTAATCATACAGCAGTTCAAGAGAACCTTTCTACAACAACAGTTAGTTGTCTGCTGACCTTTGACAAGGTCATTCTTTGATAGCAGAAAAGTTCAAATGAATCAAGGGTCAATACTCTCAAGTTTTATTAATATTCCTTATCATTTTCATTTCAGGGTACCGTGGGCAACATGGGAAACCTTGTAACAATGTTACCTGTTATCATCAATACAAAGGGAGCACAGGAATTGTTCCCATATCCGTTCCATGATCTCATGATCTGGGCAGTCCTGATGAAGAGACAGCAGATGGCTTTGTCCATGTGGCAGCATGGTGAAGAGGCTATGGCAAAAGTATGTATTCTTAGATTTATATAGTATTGGCAAGAAATAAACTTGGTAGGTTGAACTTGAGCTGTCTGTAAAAGTTAGTTTTCTTCTGTTGTTTTAGCTTAAATCAGGACCATAGGTTTCTTGTTTGAACTGTTTCACATTTTGTCATGTTGGGGCTGATTATAGCTGTCATATTTGGTATGGGTTTTGCTCATTGTTGAAGGCGTCACAGTATAAAGAGAATTGCTTCCACATCATTAAAACTCTGCTGGATAGTTGTCTCATTGGCAATCATACCACATCTCCTTATTTTATATTGGTCCAGAATCAGTCATTGCCTCTATTTATATCAATGAATAGGTGGCATCATTTGGCATCATATTTGTCTAAAATGCTGTTCAGTTTCAGTGCACAAAGAATAGTAATTCTTGTTTCTTTTTGATTTTAACATCAATCGAGTTTTATAAAAAATTGGGAAACGTTATTAGAAAAACAGTTATGCTAATCTTGCTGTTAAAACAACTAACAGACAAGGGATACTTTCAAAAATCCTGAATTTATCTTGTTAAAGACTCCCAGTGTAAGTGATGGCATTTATATAACTTATAGATATATTTATTTATTTTTTCAATTTCAGTCTCTGATGGCAGCTAAGTTGTACAAAGCCATGGCACTTGAAGCTGACCAGGACGATTTAGAAGTAGATATTTCTACTGAACTCGCGTCATATGCTGAGTAAGTAAAACAAGCAACTGAAATTTAGAAATGTAAAAATACAATAAATGATCTTTTTTATACTTTTAAGAACATGTTTAAAGGAAATTCATAATTTTGATTGATGAAATAGGGCAAAAGTTTTAATCTATCTTTTTTTAACACCATGGATATCTCAAAATTCTGATATGATTATCCATCTTTCTTATATAAACATTATTTACTTGTATTATTGTAGTGAAGGTAAAAGTAAAAAAAGAAATATATTGTCACACCCAATTTAGTCAAGAATATAAGTGGGTTACTATTCATATTATATCATAGTTCCTTAATATTTTATAGTGGATTCCGAAAGTTATCACTAGAACTGTTGGAACATTGCTACAAGATAGACGATGACTATACTCAGCAATTATTGACCTATGAACTGAAGAACTTCAGTGATCAGACATGTCTAAGTCTAGCAGTGGCTGCCAACCATCGAGCTTTTATTGCTCATACATGTTGTCAACAGCTTCTTAACGAAATGTGGATGGGTGGATTACAGATGAGGAAGAATAGCAGCTTAAAGGTATGCCAAGATTAGGGCAGGAGCTATAAGCTAATTCATGCTTCAGTGATTCCCTAAATAATCAACCAAATTTTTCCCACAAAACGGGGGCTGGGCTTAAAGGTATGCCACAATTAGGGAAGGAGCTATATGCTTAAATGTATGCAACAATTAGGGAGGGAGCTATATGCTTAAATGTATGCAACAATTAGGGAGGGAGCTATATGCTTAAAGGTAGGCAACAATTAGGGAGGGAGCTATATGCTTTAATGTATGCAACAATTAACTATATTTTAGAATATATTAGAAGTGGTTATGTGATAACTTATTTCTGCATTTTTCTTTTCTAGCAAGTATAAATTTTTTGTGTTTTTTAGCCAAGCTTTATATAATGTATCAATTTAGCATTTATATACATTACTTGAATTTCTTCAGAATAATAATGTAATAATCCAATGAATGCATTAACCATTCTCATTTGGTATTTTTTAGTTGTTTGCATCATTGGGTTTAAATCCACATACTCATTTCCTTTCTGAATGAATCAAATGTTTACAATGATTGTATATTTTTCAGGTGATCATGGGTGTCCTGTTTCCTCCAGCCATTCTATGGTTGGATTTCAAGAGTAGAGAAGAACTACAACTTATGCCTCAAACAATGGAAGAACATTTAGATGAACTGGAGTCGGAAGCCAGTGATGCGGAGATGTCGTTCTCTATCAATGATGAGCAGGATGTAAGTTAACCTGTTAATCGTATATCTAAAGGATTTGAGACATGAGTATAATATACCTTTACTCACGTCGCCTACCGGTAATTTGGTAGAGGAGTTCTCATCTCCTCATTATATAAAGAACTTACTTACACTAGTGAGTTTTAATTTTTGTCATTGTAAGAGGATTAGTAAGGAGTTTATTGTAATGCTCTGTATCATTTGATAAAATACTGAAAACATGAAGATTAAGTATGAAGAAAAAAGAAAAAGTTGACCGATAGAAATCATAAATGTTAACGAAATTCACTTTAAATATTTTTAGGCAAGATTAAATGATAACATATTTCAGAATTCCTGAAATGTTTATAAAAATAAGTTGGTAAAGATTAAGCTACAAGGATGATATTTTTGCTTGTGTGTGTGTTTGACCACCTGAGAATCTGGCAATGTAAGCCTTTACTTTGTAGAGCGTAGAATCTGACAATATAAGCCTTCACTTTGTAGAGCGTAGAATCTGACAATATAAGCCTTCAATTTGTAGAGCGTAGAATCTGACAATATAAGCCTTCACTTTGTAGAGCGTAGAATCTGACAATATAAGCCTTCACTTTGTAGAGCGTAGAATCTGACAATATAAGCCTTCACTTTGTAGAGCGTAGAATCTGACAGTATAAGCCTTCACTTTGTAGAGCGTAGAATCTGACAATATAAGCCTTTACTTTGTAGAGCTTAGAATCTGACAATATAAGCCTTCACTTTGTAGAGCGTAGAATCTGACAATATAAGCCTTCACTTTGTAGAGCATAGAATCTGACAATATAAGCCTTCACTTTGTAGAGCGTAGAATCTGACAATATAAGCCTTCACTTTGTAGAGCATAGAATCTGACAATATGAGCCTTCACTTTGTAGAGCGTAGAATCTGACAATATAAGCCTTCACTTTGTAGAGCGTAGAATCCGATAATATAAGCCTTCACTTTGTAGAGCGTAGAATCTGACAATATAAGCCTTCACTTTGTAGAGCATAGAATCTGACAATATAAGCCTTCACTTTGTAGAGCGTAGAATCTGACAATATAAGCCTTCACTTTGTAGAGCGTAGAATCCAATAATATAAGCCTTCACTTTGTAGAGCTGGGATGTAAGTAGTTCAGCATGTACATGTATTAAATAGGCTGAGCATGGACCTTTTACATTTTTCTCATGGAATATGTCACAAACTTATCAAAACATCTCAAGAGGGATATTCATCATATTGAAATACAGGGTTGACAATGAAAAATCCTTATATGTGATTCTGGTAAAATTAGAAAAATATCATTGTAAATGTCTGTAATAGGCTAAGTTAATTATAATCATCTCCTGTTTATTTGGACATGTATTTAAAATGAAGTAGCATGTTAAGAGATATAAATATCACCTTTATTGAATTATATGTTTTAAATCCATACTCTATCTAAACTATTTACATATTGTCTCTAGATGTTTATGAAGTGTGATTATATTGGACCTTATCCCTTTTATATTTACAGGGTTTTTTCTGGGGACATTTTCACCTCTTGTTAAATCAATTGGTTTGTGGGGGAAATGAAATATGAATGTAAACCATTGTATGATTTTGCATTTTCCTTGTTGAGATTAACTGTCCCATTATGCTAGTGTTAATTGTTTCCCTTTTACCTAAAAAGTATCTTTACAGACTTTTATCATATAATATAATATAATTGTAATAGTGTCTTCGCAAGGAAGTTTGCCAATATTAAAGTACTAGTGACCTAGTTTTAGAGTAATGATAGAATTATGATATAGAATTCATCCTGTATATTGACCTGTATAGAGGTGTATTATAAATTATAACCTCCAATTTGGTCGTGTTTTAGAAATTAAGTAAAGGAATTGAATGTTTGTGTATGAATTATTCTTTTGTAATAATGGCATATTTTTTTGGATTTAGAGACTATTGTGTTGATGGCTATTCTCTGATAGTATTTGTTTACTATAGTCACAGCTTTTATAGATTCTGGTTGATTAAGAGCTTGATATTTTGTATAGACACCTTTCTATTGTTGATGTTGTCCTATAGATGTCTTATGGTTAATTTTTTTGTTGGGTTGGTGTCTCATTGACATATTGCTTGTTTTTTTTCTTTTATTCATATTGATGGTTTATTTGATATAAAAGTAAGGAGATGTCCTATGATTACTATTTAAATTATTTTGATGTCTTTCTATTTTTAGATGTTTTCGGATGATATGAATATCGGGTCCAGTAAAGAGTCCATTGCAAAGACACAAGACAAACCAGCCAATGGGAATCTGTCTCGACAAAACTCTCAGATGACCGATAATAGCAATAATTTAGAATACTCTCGTTTTGTTCTCAGGAAAAAGAAAAGTACCCTTCGACTTGGGAAGAAAATTTATGAATTTTACAATGCACCTATAACGAAGTTCTGGTTCTATACTGTAAGTGTTAATTTAGTCCCTCTGGAAATATCATTCCCTATTAGCTTATTCTGTAAGATATGAAATTTATTTGTATTTTGTATACTTCATTAGTTTGTAAGTACTACATGTAAGATCTTTGAAAGCAAATCTGTAAAACTATACATTTAATATAGCATTACCCAATGTTGTTTGTTAGCTGTATTCATCTCCAGATTATTTTTGATGGGGCAATCATGTCATTTTTTTTACATCTATTTGACAAAGAAGAACTACATACTTTGAAAAATAGGGTTGGGGTAGTCTCCTTCAAGAAAAAAGCATTCTATTTTGTTGAAACATTTCAGTAACGTAAAATTTTTTTAAAGTCGGCTTTTAACACTTTTTGTAATGAAGTACATTTATTGAGTTTAGATAACATTGACATGAGATCTTTAAAATGTTTTTTGTGTTCTATTTCAGATACTTTATGTGTTTTTCCTTCTTTCCTATATGTACACAGTATTAGTGAGGACTTACCCACTACCAAATTGGCAGGAATATTTCATGATGTGTTATGTTTTAACCCTGGCATTTGAGAAATTTAGACAGGTTTGTAATTACTATAGAGTTATCTTTCTTTTTCTGCTGAACATCAAGGTTTGTGTGCAGAATCCTGTGTGTAATGTTCAAGAAGAATATGTTTACATGGGATGGTACATAACTCATGTGACTTTGTGGTTGTTTATAGATTTTTTTATAAAGAAAACTGATTTTTAGAAGGGTCATAATAGGAAAGATATGGTCACAATATATCTACTAAAAATAATTATGGCAGATAGGTGGAATGCAGGTGTATAGGTACTTGTTAGACCTTTCTGATGAGAAGTATTTTTTAGTACCCCATACTTTATTCAATGTTGTAATTGTAAATATAAAATGTAATATTCAATATTATCTGATGAAATGAAAATGTCTAGAAATCAATTGTCCGGTTCTTGAAGCCATAAAAATGGTTCATGATCTTTAACTGTCTACATTTGAAAAATACTGTTTCAACCTGTCCAGGACAATGAAAGCTATGTATAGATACTGTAGGTCTACAAATACATATAATTAAAGCCATAATATATATCATTTTCTTTAATAAGAAATTTTCAAATCACCTTCAAAAGGGTAAGTCTGAGCTATCATTCTCACTTCATATCTGTCATCATAAATTAAATGGGATGTACATCAATGAAACGGCAACCCAACAACTAATAACAGTAGGCATCCATCAATTTGCCCTTCCATAACTTTTATTTTTTTTCAACAAACAATGAATAATTTAAAGGGCATTAGCTCTCAAATTCACATTCACCGATTTGACTCAAATTCTCATATTTGATTTATAACATACTAAATCATATCCAAATTATAAAAAGTCTGAATAAACAATTAACGATGCATGCACTGGATAATATGTATCAGCATTTCGTATGTATTTTAGTCTAGACGCCATCTAATTAGCCATCAAGGTGACCTCTGAACACTGCGGACGGTCATATAACCCAATATAGACATAATTATAGATATAAATAGATAGCAAACACATGCAATGGGATTTTTCTAAGTCTGTTTGATTTCATATTATAGGTTAAAAAATATGTCAATCATTGTTTTTACCTGTATAAGAATGAGTTTTCGTGGATTGAATCAGTCAACCAAATAGTTTACCCTTGTTTCACTTTCAATGTTTACATTCTTTTCCTTTTAATAGCTGAAAATGCCTAGTTTATGAATAACCCATCTTTAACTAAGGGGTTGATTTGAAGGTCACATGAATATGGATTCAATGTAGTCAAATTATTCACTTGCTAGTTAATAATTCATCAGCAATGTTTCTTAGCTTATTTTGACAAAATTGAACTAAACTGGCTGCTAAAAGCAAATTATCATTTCACTATTTCACTTTCATTAATAATTGACTTGGTCGGTTTGAAGTCAGAATAACATGTCAAGGTAGGATGATATGTCTCCTTGTGGACTGTTACCTTGTGAATTACCACGTTAAAAATCTGGCTCAGCGTGTCAGTCTAGTACAAAGAAGGGTTAATATTCATATTAGATTAAACATGTTTTTCTCTTGAATGTGCATTTGATTTGCCACTAAACTTTAATTAGTCATCCATCATTTTCATAGTTAAACAATATGCTAAAGTCAATTTTAAGTCAAGTATGTCGGGTATATAGAAATGTTTTAATGTGTACATATCCATTTGACAGGAGTCACCTTAACTTGACCTTATTTCATGGTTGATGATCAACATTTAGTGTGTAATTTAGTCCAGTTTCTCATTTATTATGAGAATTCATTGTCTTTCATCTTTAAGACCCACTTTCCAAACCTATAAAATTGTGTTAAAGTTATTTTTCTCGTCCTGAATATCATCATGGTTAAAGATAAATTTTATTACCCCTGCCTCATGTGCCTCAGGTCTTAGTTTTTATGTTTGTACCAACCACACTAATACTTCGAACTTGGAGACTGTTTTCCCAAAAGCTTTCATACTTAGTAGAATTTATTTGTCATCATACTTGCTTGACCACATACTCTACCGTCATTTAAATTTCTTAATTTTTGGAGGAGGTTATGGAACTTTGACCATTTAAAATAAAGCAGACTTGTAACACTTTTGATCATATACCCCTAAAGCCAAAAAAAGAACAGATTGACCAGTGATTATAAAGGATAAAAATGTATGCTTGACACTGAGTATGTCAAATTGACAAGAACATTCAAAAGGAATACTCATAAAATGATTATATTTGAATTTCCAAGTATGAGATAAATGTAGAACACAAGAATAATATTGTTCATCTGTATTATATATAATGTATTAAGCAGGTTGACAATTTTTATGCCCCCGCCGTAGCAGAGGGGGCATTAAGTTTTACCCTTGTCCGTCTGTACGTCCGTCCTTCTGTCCGTAGGGCCGTCCGTCCGTCCCGAAATTGGTTTCCGTTCTCTAACTCTAGTTTGTCTCAACCAAATGTTATGAAACTGATACACAATGCTAATTACCACAAAATACAGATGAAGTTTGAATTTTGGTTGTGTCACTTTTACCGTTCTAGAGTTATGCCTGTTTACAAATGGAAAAATTGCTGAATTTTTCGTTTCTGTTCTCTAACTTAAGTTAGCCTCTACCAAATGTTATGAGACTTATACACAATACTTATTACCACAAAACTCAGATCAAGTACAAATTTGGGTAGCGTCACTTTTACTGTTCTTCAGTTATGCCCCTTTATAACTTTATATGATATGCAAGCAGGGGCATCATCTGTGTCCCATGGACACATTCCCCATTTATTGTATTATTTCTTACAGTTTAAAAAATATATATATTTAGATTGAATAGGATAGCAAATGCATGTGCAATTTATTTATTTATTTTTTGAAAGAATACTTATATGAATGGAAACAATGGCTATCTTTTCCCTCATATCTATCCATCTGATTATGGATCATTGATCAATGTTAACTATTTCTGATACCTGTAGTAACGCATTGATCTCAAAGACTTAAGACCTAAATTTTTTCATTATCAGTAAAGCAAGTTTAGTAAGTCCTTTAGTGTGTCTGCTCTGTTATTGTAATATGCTGACTACTAACCATTATTATTGCAAACAGTGATATTATTGTATCAATTGTTGATAGCATGAAGAGACAATAAAGGTTTGTGGTAAGATGTTTAAAGAAAATATAAACTTTAATGTCATTCCTTTATGCACTTCTCTTTCACTATGTTAGATCATCAAGCAAGGATTTGTCTTACTATACAAATCCTTGGATCAAGCATAATTGCTCCAGTGAGACTATTTCTATTTATATCATCCTGAGAGGATATGACAATCCTTTATACTCATAAATCATTGGAAGTAAACTTGCATATGTAAGCAGAGCAGAATTATCCTACTCAATAAAAAGTTTGTTTATGCTGTTCTAGTAGGAAGAAGTAGTTATTACCGATATTGTAAATCATTGATAACCCATACTTGTGCTTCATTAAGAAACCTTTCCATGAATTGTCAGTATTTCGACTGTTGTTTATATGTATAGTTTCATCATATTGAAGTGAAGTGTTCTTACATCCTTCGAAAGAATTTTTTCTTGTACTTTCGGATAATGATGATTTTGTATTTTATTTTTTTTTTTCTTAAAAACAACCACTAATTAAGACATACACAAACATACCATTTTTAGTTCACTGGCCTAAAAGGCAATGTTAGCTATTGCCATCACTGGGGATCCAGAGAAGTCGTTTTTTTTTATCAACCAACCTATTTTTGACCCAATTTGTCCCTGAAATGTCTTTTTTTTTGGCAAATTTTGCAGTTGTATGGCCTATCTTTCAAAACAGTAAGCAATTGGAACAAATCAGACACAGGTAAAAATAATTGGCAGGGTTAGGGTTATCTCCTATAGAATTTTTAGGAGAATCTGACAACCCATTTTTATATTATTCAACTTTTATACACTAGGCTATGGGGCACTAAGGTGTACCCTTGTACGTCTGTCTGTCTATACGTCCCGAAATTGGTTTCCGTTCTCTTACTTTAGTTTGCTTCATCTAAATGTTATGAATATTATACACAATACTTGTTACCACCAAGATCAAGTTCGATCTTTGGTGGCATCACTTTTTCCATTCTTGAGTTATGTCCCTTTTTAAATGTAAAAATTGCTGAATTTAGCATATATTTACAAGCCATGGCATTTATATCCCATGAACACAATCTTCTTGTAGTTGGCATATATTTCCAAAACTGAAGCTGTTAGAGTGAAACTGATGTAGTGTAAAAATGATCAGAATAATTGGACAACCAATTTGCAAGTTATTTGCCACTGAACTGTCCATTTTTAGCAAATTTTGCAGATTTTGGTTATTATCTTGATGAAATATAATAGATAGAGAGAAACTTTTAATAGAAATATTGATCATCTTAATAAGATCTATAAATAAGTCAGCATGGCCTATTTTGTCAGCGAGTTGAAAGCCATTTGACTATTATCTCGAAAACAATGATAGATGGAAACTGTGAACAGCAAAAATTATCAGCAGTACAAGATCTACAAACATTCAAAAATAACAGAAATCATTTGATGACAGTGGCCTTAAATGAATTAGTTCCAGTTTTTGCCTACTATCTGGAAAAGTTAAAAAGTTAGGTAGAAACTATAAACAGCAAAATTTTGACAAGTGAGTGAATCAGGCTCTTAGGAGCAATCGATGAAAATGGGTACCAATGAAATGAATGAATGAATCCACAGTATATTAGAATGAGAACATTGAACCTTCTGAGTTTGCCATCTCTTGTTCTTTCATAACACTTAAAGTGAATAGACGTGAGCAGATTCTGATCTACAATCAGATACATTGGAATGAAATACTTTTTGATGGAGATTAAGCAAAATCGTCAATTTATCAAATCACTTTGCCATTACAAATTCAGAGATTTTACTATTTTTGGCAGGGTGTGATGTTTTGTAGAAAAATTCCTTTCACTATTTCTATAATTGTGTGTAATGTAAAAATTTTAAAACCGAGAGTGATACTCTGTTG